CGGAATGTGTCAAGCAGGATCGCAACAATACCGCAGTAGCATTATCAAACGAGCACAAACTGGTCATGTCGAAAGTGCTTACGGACTGTACTGATATGCTTGGGCGAATGGAGGCGTTGGTCAACTGGGTCTCCAAATTACCAAATCAAGAGAAAACGCTTCAAGTGCTATTGCAAATGGTAAGTTACGAGCTATGTACGATCAAATATTTGGCTAGTTGTGGCAACCCGCTAACTCCACGATTTTAAAACTAAAACTAGAGAGTTGCATTGATGAAACAATTTAAAGGCCCGGATTGGCAACTAGTTGACCAGTTTACAATTTCGCAGCAGCAACTTGTGTCCGCCATCGCATATATAAAAAAGTGGTTCGCAGCGATGATCAGTCACCTCCCGAAGCCGAATCAAGCGTCAGCAGCTGCAAGAAATGCCGCGCAGCCTCACGCTTCCCAGCCTCCACCAAATGCTCAACCACAGCCTGCCATTCCCCCTCTGAATGCGAGTAATCTCCAACAACTTGAACGTCAGCAAGAGGAAGCCCTCCAACGTGCAAGGCGAGTCCAGAATCATGCAGCCCCTCCTGCTCCGACGACTTTACAGCCACCTTTCCCACTAGGAGCCCCATCTCCACAAGGTGTTCCACATGCCTACGGACCACCCGGCTTGACGAAGGATAAATTGGTGATTCCACCCGCAAAAAGGCGGAAACAAAATCCAGCGGCTAAAACGTCTGCTACTTCGACTCCTGCAGCACCCGCATCCACACCGCAGGGTCAAAAGCAGACTCCTGCAGCAGAGACAAATAAACCAACACCACCCGTTTCGAACTCCTTCCGATGTCCTGTATCTGAATGCGAACATCATATTAGAGGCTTTGCCACTCAAGTCGCCCTTGATACCCATATTAATGAGCTCCACAAAGTTGAGGAACCCGTTGAAAATGCACTTGAATTTGTTCTTGAGAGTTATCGTACGGCCTTAGCTATCGATAAACAAGAAAAGAAAACGCAAGAGGCAGCAGAAGATGAACCCAAGCGTAAAAACGCGCCTGAGCCTGAATTGCAGCGCCCGCCACAACCAAGCAAGCCAAGCTCAACCCCCAAGCTTAACAGTGAACATATGACACCTGGAACAACCCCCGCTGGTCGCTCAGTAAGCCAGGCTGGGATGAAGCCTTCTCCAAGTTCGAACAATGCAAAACTATCCCAAGGACCCGCTGCTACCGGCAATGGAACAGCTGGGTCGAATGCTAAAGAGCAGCAGAGCAAAGAAAGCAAGAAGGACAATGGTAAAAACGGCGAGCAAGAATCGTCGCCTGAGGATATGGTATTCGTCAAGGACCCGTGGGCTGAGAGTGCAATCTCGATAGAGACAATCCGCTCTGGTTTTAGTGATTGGGGATCATTCCCTGGGCTTGAGTCTGATCCTCTTGAAGAAGTATTGATCTCAGATGTCTTTACGAATATTCGAGAGAAAGATACACCACAGTCTACAGATACCAGCGCGAATACGCACACGCCCAAGGATACTGATAGCTCCAGGGACGATGAGGTTGATGTGAACATGAGCGGATCGAACGATGATAGCTGGATCCCGCCGGACTGGGTCAATCTCCCCGGCCAGCTTGAAGGGGGTTTGCTAATGAATGAGCCCTGGGAGGAGGTCAACTGGGATGCCCATGAAGAGAATGAATATGATCTGAACGGGAACAATCTTGAACAGGTTGTATATTCGATCTAGTTTTGTTGCACCGATTGAAGTTTTTTTCACTTGTTAAAAAAATCTCTTTCGCAGTTCCTTAATATGTCTTTTTGATGCCTATAACGGACAGGATTTCACAAAAACAATGAGCCATCCGTCGGGATGGCCAGTTTTGCATGGCGGCTGGAGGATTCTGGTGTCTTTTTTTTGGTGCCATTCGCGTCTCGGATTTATGGTTAGATTTTTATATATTTGGCTTCATATGGCCGTTGGAGCCCCATTTCATTTTCATTCTCATTTTTTTATTTAAATTCGTCCCCTCGTATCTTATCCAGGCCTTTGCCATGATACTTCTCTTTTCTTTTCTTTTCTTTTTTGAAAAGCAAGGTGTTTCTGGTTCTTAGATCTCATCGGCGTTATGTTTTGCCATTACCTTTTTTACAGCTTTGGACTGGACATCCCCATTAACAAAGGCCTTTTTGGTTACAAGTGTGATGATCCTTTTTTTGTCGCCCATTCTTGCCTTTGCATTTTGTGTACTCGAGGAAATGGGAAAAGTGTGGTTTAATGTATTTTGATACAGAAATGATTATTGATTTGGTCAAAAGATAAAATATGGAACTAAAAGTCCTTGCGCGAACTAGAAATTTATATGATAAACATGTTACATACCACTAGGCTAGCCTTCCCCAAAATCCGGGGTTAGTTTCGGGGCTCGATGCCTATATCTGGTTTCAAGTTAGGTGTCAAGGCCCTATTGCCTCTGCCGTTGTTTCACCACCTCATCTGAATAAGATTTCATTGGATGATTATGTAATTTAAATTGACTAGTAAGTAAGTTAGCGCGATAAGCGCATTTGATCACCAGATAACAAGCGCCAGATAGATGACCACATGATGAACGATCTGGATGGCCTTTTCCACTGACCTCAACAATGCAGCACCCAGGCGAAATGCCTTCCTAACCAAGCATTCGCCCACAACATTGCTCTTAAAGGACTTTATTTGCCATCCAGATATCCAGCACACTAAACAACCCGCCCTGGCTGCTTGGATATTACAGTCGAAATGGCACCCAAGTCACTCATTCCATTCCTGGTCGCCATGATGTTGGTGACTGGTGTTTGCAACACGATCCTTACAAAATACCAGGTCAATTTTGTTCTACATACCTCCCCACTTTTGGGCCAGTTTCCGCTGACAAGCTGTGAAATTAACAGGACATGCAATGTGTTCGCAACTGCGATTCCCCCGACCCAAAAAAGCGGGTGGTGTTTGAACAACCTGTCGTCCAAACGTATGTTTTCAAACCTTCCCTTTCTTAAACGCAAATGGGGTGATAACAATGGGAGTAGTCTACAAATGTTCATCGGAGAAATGGGGTGTTGGCTGGTTGTGTTGGCGTGCAAGTTCTGGAATCGGTATATCAGCCATCGGCTCGGCGGTTCCTCTAAAGCATCCCTTCTCACCGGTGGTTATGAGCCAGTTGACGGTGCGGACAATGACCTTGCCGAGTCCGACGATGAATTAGACTCCACCTCTCCCTTAAATGGAAGTCCGCGGGCTTCGACTACAAAGCGCTCTAAAGAACATGATGGTAGAATAAAATTGAAAGGCTGGAAGGTATTCATGCTGGCTGCCCCAGCATGCTGTGATATCACTGGTACCACGCTTATGAATGTCGGATTGTTATTTGTCGTTGCAAGCATATATCAGATGACACGAGGTGCACTGGTGCTCTTCGTCGGCCTTTTCAGCGTACTTTTTCTTCGCAGGAAATTATATCTATACCAGTGGCTGGCTCTGGTCGTTGTTGTCCTTGGAGTTGGCATTGTCGGACTTGCCGGTGCCGTCTTTAAAGATAATCCTGAAGCTCTGGGTGACTCCCGAACCGTGACGCAACTGATTTCAAGGGCAGAGGAACTTGACGGTTTTTCTGGTGAAACTCCAGTAGCTGTACGGACGATTATTGGGGTGCTATTGATCGCAGGAGCCCAAATTTTCACAGCCACCCAATTCGTTTTGGAAGAGTGGATTCTTGAGAATTATGCCATGGATCCTCTGCAGGTTGTTGGTTGGGAAGGAATTTTTGGATTTCTAGTTACGCTTTTCGGCATGATAATCCTTCATTTCGCTATCGGCAATACCGAAAATGGGAGGCACGGATATTTTGATATGAGGGAAGGGTGGCACAATACGACTACGAATAAGGCTGTTGCGATATCGGGCATACTAATTATGATCAGTATAGGGTATGTAAACGCTTGCATTTCCTACCAGTTTTGAAGATCATAACTGACATTACTCAGCGGCTTCAACTTTTTTGGCCTCAGTGTCACTCGATCTGTATCTGCCACTTCCCGCAGCACCATCGACACGTGCCGCACTCTCTTCATCTGGATGATATCTCTTGGTCTTGGCTGGGAGTCCTTCAAGTGGCTTCAGGTAGTTGGTTTCGCTATGCTTGTTTACGGCACTTTCCTTTTCAATGATATCGCCAACCCTCCTCTGAAAGCCTGCGTACCGACACACAGGCCAAGGGAAGAGCTATTTCCGGAAGAGCCCATCGAACATATCTAAACAGGCTTAACTTCCACACTTGTAAAATTTCCGGGAATTTTCCGGGAATTTTCTTCCGGTAATAACCAACATGTTATAGGCTATTTTCGGACTTGGGAATTTGGTGTTTTCTGGAATCCCCTTCCATTTATAGCTCAAATTTCATTCACGTTGGTGGAGCATTGGTTATGGCATTTGGCGGCGTGTTGTTGTGTATGGGTCTTATTTTCCAGTTCGTTGGCAGGCGTTACTTCATACTTTATGATCAACTTTTCATTTGTTCATCAACGCAATTTTTGCTACATTCTTATGTATCAACAGTTTAGCATTTCGGTATGGTCCAATTCAACGTCTTCAATCATAAAACTCATATCAACTGAAGAATCTTCCCCATTGCTATCTAAAATTTTACGTATTACACTATAGTTCCCTCTCGTTAGCTTCAACACACCATAAACCATCTTCTCAACGTCACACCACAACAGAAGTAACTTTATATCCAGCAAATGGCAAACTTCGGCAGCAATCATACCCGCAATACTATTCCGTATGCTCCCGATCACACCACCACCCGCCCCACATTTTTCAGTCATGGGAAGACTTGTGGATCAAAAGCTCGCATTAGTTACCCCAAACTCTCGGCCCGTGGATGAAATGGTAGGGTTACGGATTGAGGTTTGGCTACACCTGGGCGGAAACTGGGAATCACAACAGGAGATTCAAAAGTATTATGATGAACCTGACCTCTACACCTAAGGTGAGGGGTTTTTCTGCATATCTTATCTCTCAAATTGATCTCCTATTTGCAGTTTCCGTAAATTTATCAAACGCTTAATTCTAACTCTAATCCACCCTAACCCTGTGTGGAAGAGGACAACTTTCGAACATCGCTATCGCCATGTCATCCTCACAGGAGTCAGCGGATAAAGTGATTACCGCACTCTGATAACGGATACGGTGACGGCCGTCACAATTTGGTTTTATCTTCTAAGGGAGGATACCCCGTAGTAGTCTCTGATGGCTTGAGTAAAAACGCATCACATTATTGGAGAGATCGTCACGCGTAGACAGAAAAACTATGGGTCACTTGATGTGCAGGCCAAAAGGTTTATGTGTACAAATAGGGAGGACTATCATACAGTCTTGAGCAAGTAAAGCTGAGAATAAGAGGAGAATATTTACAGTACTTCATAGGTTGGTAAGAGGGGAAGAATAGCAGCGCATAGAATTTTGATTTTTCCCTTTTCCCTTTTCCCTTTTCCCTTTTCCCTTTTTCCTTTTTCCCTTCTCCTTTCTGTCCCCTTACTCTAGAATTTCCAGTTCTTGAGAATTTGTAACTGGAGCGGCTGTCTAGGGTGTTTTCTAAATGGAGTAATACAACAAAGGAGGACGATTTTCCTAGGTCATTATGCGTAAAGAGGGGTTGGCAATTGCTGGTAAATTCGTTGGGGGTATCTAAACGAGGACGTAAAGTGCGCACATCTAACAGAGCAGTCAACACATTATTCGTCCAGCAAAATAAAACCTCGCCCAAGGAGCTGACGTACAAGGGAAAGCCCAATAATCATTGAAATCCAAAAACAAACGTTCTAACGGTTGACTCAGAAGTTAGCAGCTGGGTTGCTTACTGGTGGCGTTTTGCTTGTTCCAGAAAAGCTAGGATCAACTACTCACATTGAGAACCTTTCGCCCCTTGACAAACTTTGAACGCTGCACGGCAACAATGGGTAGTTGCATCATCATGGCAAGAAAGCCATAGCCCCTGATTTTCTTGGTGATACAGCTCATTACCAACTCATGTCCAATGGAGCTCACCAAGAATGTAATGAACATCGCCTCGGAGTTGGAAAATCGAGTCAAAGATGAAAAATAAACGTGGCGCCGGAGGAAATGATGAACCGGGATATTCCACTCTCTGGAGAACTCCAGCCTATTGAACGTAGAAGTTAGCATATTAGAAAACTCAATGATATGTCGTAGAGGTATAAGAGGTGTCCGTACCAATCGCAGGAATTCCACCAGTCAGCGTAAAATTTGCGGTCCGCAAAGCGGGTGATTTCCGCAAAGGCATTTAGCGTATATTCGAAAATGACAAGAAACACCAACAGGAATGTTATCATAAAGGGCAATAACAGCATGCTAATAGTTTCTGCAAGGACTAAAGCCTTCTCAGAGCCGCTGCTCAGGTCCTGCAGTCTGACCGCAGATTCGTCTAGAACTGGAACGATGAACTCTTCGCTAACATGTGTAAGTAAGAAAATACAGCCAAAAACGGCCAAAGTCTTAAAAAACACCTCCATCCACCGGATTTTTTCCGTTCGAGGGTATTCTAATTCATAGCATAGCGTAGGGCAGAGCAGATAATCCACATAATTGTGCAAAGTTAGATTTTGGGGGTATGAAACCTGACCGAGAGGAGATGTTAACTCCGTTGCAAGGTCCGAGCGGAGTTTAGAAATCGATCGCTGGGATTCACCCTCCTTTCCGTTATCTAACTCCGTATTCTCTTCCATTGGTCGACTCTCAAATCGTGGATACCGAACGGCTGCAGATAGTGAATTGGCTTCTGGTTTATCCAGAGCGGATAAGCGATGCTCTGTCTCGCTCAAATGTCCGTTGTAGAAGGCGTAGGAATGCATTTTCATCAAAAGAGTTAGTGTGTGTAAAATGAAAAATACCTGAGAAGTCCAGGTCCAACTAAGTATGAACGGCAAGCTGGAGAGGAAGAAAATATGTCAGCGATTACCCTTCCCGCAAAGTAATGCAATAAATAAGACACATACGCTACCCATAAAGCGAGCCATGCGGCTTGAAAGCAACTCTGAAATATCATTCCTCCGTTTGACCATCTTAGCCAGCCCTCACTTTTTCTAATTTTTAAATGGAGCGGGAGAGACAGTGCAGTACTCGAAACCATAGCAAGGTCACACAGACCCAGCTGCCAAACATTCGCCGATAGCAACAACCACACTTGTACCCGCAATGGATAACCGGTGTCTTTTATATTCCGTACAACCGTGGTCATGACCATGATAAACAAACTGACCCAAAATAGAGAAAAGAAACCGCGGAAATCTCGATAATCGCTGTCAGGGTCGAAATGAGATACTCTAGGTTTGTAATCGATTGAGTAGAACAATCTTCGTTTCGCCTGGGCTCGTATCTGCTTCCTTGCGCATGATATCGATTGTACTGATGGGGGTGCGTCTTCCGGAATAGGGGTGGATCGGCCACTTTCGGGGACGGTTAGCTGCTTCCAGTTACAGGATATACAGGATACCGGCGGCTGGGGATTAAGATTAAGGAGGTTAGGCTATTTTTCTATACCTTGATAAATCAAATGATAGCCTATCTGCGCTGGCAGAGGTTGAGAGACAATGGTCTTCGCTCTGGCGTTTTGGCAGCATTGCGCGTGGCCGCAGGACGCTGGCTCCAGCAACCCCGTTAACATGTACAGATGACATGATGAGAATCGCCAGAGACGCTAGGATAAAACTCAATTATAAGGAGGAATTGGGCTACAGTGTGATAATCATAGTAGGATAACGATAATATATATACAACGCTGATGAAAGAAAACGCTATCTCAATGCTGGCGGGACGAATAACAATACTCGCATGTTTGGCTCTTGAGCGGTGCTTCAGGCGAACTTTCCTGGTGATGTCAGCGCACTGGTACGGCCCCATGCTGCTTTAGCGCCATCTGGAAGTTTTGCGGCACTAGCGTGCAAAATCATCAGCACATAGGGCTGTGAAGGTTCGTTAAAACAGCGACGAGGAACGGCTCTATCTGCTTTTCAGCCTGGCCACGACACCTTGCTTGTTCTATTGATACTATATCACCTACCGACTCGGATCCCCATGGAAGAAAGCTCTTCTCGATCAGCGATTAGGCGTGTTACATGCGGAGGACAGCGCGTTGAATCATCTGCTAACAATGAAAACCGGTCAATGCACTCATGAAGTCCCTACAACCACTGTATATATATGGAGAGCCGGCACTGAATTTACAGACGAGAATATCAACATACAACGAGTTGGAAGATTGTGATCAGGTGCCAGTGACTAGCCTCTGCTCAGGTAAACCTTTTCATGGCAGTGGGATCCATTCATTTAGCTAAGCCCTTCTAGCATATTCACGAGAGAGGCTGTCCATAACTACCCTGGCCTTTCAAAGTACGTGCTCCGTTCTCAGGTACTCCACAAAGAACGTCCAGAGCGAACGCATATTCTCCTCGAGAATCGATTTTTCGGCTCCCGGAGCCTAAGGGTAATGATGAGTCTTGCTCAGTTTTCCCGGGCCATCATTTATCTGCAAATAATTAGAAAGTGCATCAGGTTCAACTAAAAAGTATTTGTGATACAGATAAAGTTCTGCATGTCTCCATCCGGCATGCGGTGCCTGTGGCCCCCTAGTCGTAGGGAAATGCGCATACTCCGTAGATAGCATCATGATTAAATCTAGGTGACCATTGAATATACCGACGGTGTTTTGAAGAAAGGGCACAGAAAGTATATAGAAATTTCCCTGAATATTTCGAATGTAAGGGGCATGGTATTGGCTATTCATTCGAAGAAAATATCTCAGCTGTTGGGAGTGTGCTGCAATGATAATATAAACCCCAGGAGCTGTCGATGCCAAGCTTAGATGCCAACGGTCGAGGTCACGTTCAATCAAGGTTCAAATAGAGAAACCCACTAGACTGTATACAGTTAGTGTCCATTTTTGACCTAAGCGCGCTGACAACCAACGACACATGGTGGGCGAAATGAATCTGATATATGAAGACTATAAGGACTTGGACACTCCAACAAACGCTCTCTCGAATCCAGGGAACGGTCACAAAGCATTTCCGCGATATACAAGCGCTGGTGCTTCGGGTGACAAGCTACATTTCGCTGTCCCCAATTTTGGGGTCCTTGCGACCACCATGAGTTCCCGTATGTCTAAACCCCTCATCCCCATCGACAGTATGTTAAGGCCACTTACTCATATCGATCCTAGTCAAGCAGTTCATTCGAAATGTGCGAGCGGCCAAAACTATCGCTGACGAGCGATCAGTGATCCAGAAGGAGAGTGCGGCAATTCGGGCCAGCTTCAGGGAAGAAAGTGCGGATTCAAACGTAAGGTATGTGGGGGGAAGCCTTTCAGATCTCCGGAAGGCCACATTCTCACACAGCATTTACAGGAGAAATAATGTGGCTAAGCTACTCTACCTGTTCACGTTGGGTGAACGAACGCACTTCGGCCAGATAGAATGCCTCAAACTACTAGCGTCACCTCGTTTCGCCGACAAACGGCTAGGCTATCTGGGAACCATGCTACTTCTCGATGAGAACCAGGAGGTCCTGACATTGGTCACGAATTCTCTAAAAAAGTCAGCCTCACATATGAATCCCTCCCCTTCAAATAAGCACTTTGCTCATTTTGTCGCGTAGTGATTTGAACAACTCGAATCAATATGTCGTCGGTTTAGCACTCTGTACGTTGGGGAACATCGCCTCTGTCGAAATGTCGAGGGACCTATTTCCCGAAGTAGAGTCGCTCATATCCACTGCGAATCCCTATATCCGCAGAAAAGCTGCCCTTTGTGCTATGCGTATATGCCGAAAAGTCCCCGATCTCCAGGAACATTTTATAGATAAATCCAAGGCGCTTCTGTCGGATCGGAACCATGGAGTCTTACTATGTGGCCTCACTCTCGCGATCGAGTTCTGTGAAGATGACGACGCAGAAGGCGGGCATGAGGTTATTGAAAAATACCTTCCACTGGTGCCTGGACTCGTGAGAGTGTTGAAAAGCCTTACGACATCTGGATATGCTCCAGAGCATGACGTGTCAGGCATTACCGACCCATTCCTGCAGGTAAAGATACTTCGGTTCCTGAGAGTCCTCGGCAGGGGTGATGCGGCGACAAGCGAATTAATCAATGACATCCTTGCCCAAGTCGCTACTAACACGGAGTCCTCTAAAAATGTGGGCAACTCCATTCTCTACGAGGCTGTCTTGACAATTCTCGATATCGAAGCAGACTCTGGTCTTCGGGTGCTAGGAGTCAACATCCTTGGCAAATTCTTAGCTAATAAGGATAACAATATTCGATATGTAGCACTCAACACTCTCATCAAGGTGGTAGCTGTTGAGCCAAATGCTGTCCAAAGACACCGAAATACCATCCTAGAGTGTTTGCGGGACGCCGATATTAGTATACGAAGACGTGCTCTGGATCTTAGCTTTACGCTAATCAACGAAGGAAACGTCAGAGTGCTTGTCAGAGAGCTCCTGGCTTTCCTTGAAGTCGCTGATAATGAGTTCAAGCCGGTCATGACAACCCAAATTGGAATAGCTGCGGATCGATTTGCCCCCAACAAGAGATGGCATGTTGACACTATGCTTCGAGTCCTAAAACTTGCAGGCAATTATGTCAAGGAGCAGATTTTGTCATCTTTTGTCCGCCTGATTGCAACAACTCCCGAGCTCCAAACATATTCCGTACAAAAACTCTATGCTAGTTTGAAAGAAGATATCTCGCAAGAAGCCTTAACTTTAGCTGCTTCCTGGGTTATAGGCGAGTATGGAGATGCTCTTCTCCGTGGTGGCCAGTACGAGGAGGAAGAACTAGTGAAGGAAGTGAAGGAAAGTGATATAGTGGACCTTTTTACCAATATACTTAATAGCACCTATGCTACCCAAACAGTGACGGAATACATTATAACGTCTGCAATGAAATTATCGACAAGACTCTCCGAACCCGCGCAGATCGAACGTATTCGACGTCTCCTTAGCAGTAGATCTGCAGATTTGAGTGTCGAAATCCAACAAAGGGCTGTGGAGTACACCAATCTGTTTGGGTACGACCAAATAAGGCGTGGCGTATTAGAGAAGATGCCCCCACCTGAAATCCGCGAAGAGCAGAGAGTCCTAGGAGAAGCAACCAACAAAAGGCAAAGCAGATTGCTGAGAGACAAATCAAAAAAGCCAACCAAACCATCAGAGCAGGATTTATTGCTTGACCTTATGGGTGGCTCCGACGATAACTCTGCCAACATCACTGACAATGCTGGTAGATCCCAGAACACAGCTGACCTGTTGGCTGATATTTTGGGCGGCGACTCTATTTCCGCTACCACATCTAGCCAATTTCAGCCTTCGTCCTCCAAGCCGTCTAATGTAAGCGGTATCATGGATCTTTTTGGTTCAAACGGCACATCGGCACCCCAAGCGCCACAGTCTTCTACATCGCCAATGGGACCTCTAGGAGAGCTTAATTCCCCTCCTGCTCAGACACCTTCCCCAAGCTCCGTGCCCCCCGGCCACACCGTATTTGAGAAGAATGATCTGCTGTTGACACTGCAAATTCAGCGGAGTGACTCTGGTGCCCAAATATTGGCTCGATTCCGTAATACATCTACTTTCGATCGCTTTTCCGGTGTGGGATTACAAGTGGCTGTTCCTAAATCTCAAAAACTTCAGCTCAATGCCATCAACAAAGCTGACCTGGAAAGGGGACAGGAAGGCGTCCAAGGAATGAAAGTCTCTGCTATCAATGGGGTATGCTTTCCTTTTCCGTTTTCTCTCTTTTTTGCTGGACTCTGATCGACGGCTAACAAAAACTGATGTTCTTGAGCAACTGCAGCCCCTAGAAGGGAAACTTCGACTCCGCCTCCGAATTACTTACTCCAAGAATGGGGCACCTCCAGTCACCGAACAGTTGGCTTGGTCCGAACCTTGAGAATAGGCAACCAGGCTGGCGATGTTGGTCTAACCTTCTACCTTGAACTAACCTCCTTGATCTTCTTCTCCCCAAATCCCATGTCTCGCAACAGCCTATCGTCAATATTTTGGGTAGGCTGTAATAGCTAGGCTCCAAGAATAAATGATAGCACATTCAAAACCCTCAATGAAATTCAATTACACTATTTACTGCCATTTCTCATATTACTCCTTTATCTCCATTTGACTGTTACTCTCTTTTCTAACATCCAGCTATAAACTCTCAAGACATTCCTGTCACAATTGTGCCCTCTCCTTTTATGCTCATACGGCTGACGTTCTTTTAACTTGCTGCCCAAATGTGGTGAGGTTTTCATCATCTCTGTCATTGATAGACAGGTAGAAGATAGAATCATTCTTCCACACTCATGGCCAGCTTTCTACCAACCCACATCACCAAAATGATGTCAAAATTAACATTGTCGGTACTCAACAGCATAGGTGCGCGCGGCAATTTTGGCTTTCACCCTGCACCAAGCCGTCCAATCACGGCTGCCCTACAATGCTTTGTACTCTAGATGGTTGCACTTTCCCTCCCTGTTCGTGTCCTCTCTCTATGATTCCTTCCTCCTTTATCATCTCTGTTTGATGTCGACAATCTTGGGGGCTGTAAGAGCCTCAACTGGCAGCGTGGCTGTTAACCTTGGAGCCCCTATTTCTCTACTTTCTTGCCCCAACCCAGATTTCAGGGAAGGAGGTGCAACAATGATTCAAACACCAATGGGCCAAACTCACCGACGCGTTTAAAATTTGCGTCATTTTTATTTAGATATACTTTTGGGATTTCTGAGTTACCACTGGAAGGTGAGTTCGGTGGCACATTCTCCTTATTTAGCAGCGTCAGTTCCTCTCCTTTCCTTCTTTCATTTTCTTTCTCACCACCACTCGCTTTACTTCGATAACGTGGGGGGATAATATTCCATACAAGTGTACCATCGCCGCTCCCGATAACCAAAAGCGTTTGCATCTTCACTACCATTTTGTTTACTATACATCTTGCCGATACGTATATATACATAAACGAAAAGAAAATAGAAAAAGGAACCCAATAGTCGTAAGTAACCCTTCGACTTTTCGACTTCACTGTTCTTCCCGGTATTTGTTTACAACAGCTGCTACACTCCATCGCCCCTTCTGTCTTCTTCTGGCCGCTATTCCTGGGATGTAGATATTCACGAGTATAACAAATACAGTATCTTTTCTAGCCCATCATGTCGGGACCCGCATTTGAGCCAATCCCGCGTCCGTCATCCACCGACACTTTAATCGATCCTAGCGGAGATCACTTGACAGAGGAAGAGAGCCATGCTATTTTGGCCCTTTTGAAGCTTTCTGGCCGCAGCCCTCTCGAAATGAGAACAGCGGAAATTCAGCTTAGTTGGCACTACGGCTACCCCGTTGCACCCTTACCGGCCGTTTTACCTACACCCATAGTGTATTATCCTTACAGCTTCAATCCTGTCAACCCTGGAGCGCCTCCCCCTTTGAATACTTCTGAAGATTTTGAGGACTTCACGGACTCTAGTCTGAGTGATGTAAGCTCAGTCTTAGAGGAATATAGTTTCTGCACGACCCCGCCACAGTCTCCCGGAACTGCTTTTGCAACAAATATATATCTGGGGTTGCGCAACATACCCAATTACGCACTGGAAAGCACACCTCCAGAAAGCGATTCCTCAATCACGGAAATGGAGTATTCCTCCCTGGATTCTCTTTCAGATGATGGAACATCCAAGATCTCTACCCTTGACGGAATTGGCGCCACTCTAAATGGCCCGACCAAGGACGTGAGGATGACAGAGTTTTCGCCAAAAATTACAAGCTCGTCTCGTGGAGCCCGGGCTAGGGCCAACACACAAAAACCAGCTGGCACACTCAAAGCGCAGTCAGCCCAGCAACCAAGCAGACGGTCTACACGACAACGGAAGGACAGTCGACGTTTGATTGAGGCTAAAGAGTCTGAAAAGTTGCAAGGTTCCTGAGAGCTTTACTGGAGCACCAAGATTGTAACGAGCAGCAAAATTGGTAAGAATAACATTTGTTAAATTCCCCCTTCGCGCACTACATTAACTTGACTTTTGCGATTGCTGCAGATAATATTATACTGATTTGATCACCCGCCCAAGGACTTGAGACGCCTCAGGGCCTTTGTTTCTGTCATCCATTATTCTGTTTTCGCTTTAAATGTGTATTTTATAAGTTTTTGATATTTTTTACTCAACTACCATCTTGTGCATATACATTTCTAAATATATTTTTTTGTTCCTATCGTTGATACTTCACCGTTATGACGTCATTTACGAATCTCCCGTTTTGGAACTTTATTAAATGATGGTCGCCAAACTCCCAACTATTCCATTCTTATCATGCGATTTTGCTTCTATACACAGGTATCCGGTGCTTTTTCTTTCATTTTCTAATTTAAACGACTTTTTTGTTTCTCCGGTTTATATCACACATTATTAGTCCATATTATGTGTGGTCTTAATGTTTTCCACCTGTTTCCCGTCACAACCTACTATTTTGCTTCTTCAACTTTGTATAACATTTTCAACCCATATGCTGGATACTTTTTCTATACTCTGATCTCTTCCCTTAGTTCCTCCCGCGTATTGCTTTCAACTTTCTCATTAATTTATCCTCCCGAAATTCCGAAAGAGATGCATCAGATGCCACAACCTTCTTTGTAAGGCGCCTCCCACGTTTAATCCAAGGCACATGGGATGACTCCATTATCGAGTGGATGTAAAATCGAAGGAAGTTTTTTTTTTTTTTTTCACAAAATCCTATAGTCTCCAGGTTTTGCTTTCCTCTACATGCTGTCTACCTGGATGTTTCATTACAGAGAGAGCTGAAAAATTACTCTTATCAGTTACCTTTAGAAGACAAACTGTGTACGGAGTAAATATATGATCTTTCTCATTAACTCGCTTCGGGATCAGAGCATGGCTAAAGTGTCAGGGATATCACACTACAACCCTGCGAGGCTATGCTCGATTGAGTGACTCGAGAGCAAAAAGGGGTATCAAAGTTCACATCCTAATATGACCCTTCGCATTTCTGCAACCCATTCCACACGGCCTACACCCTTTCCTCAAGGCACCAGACGCGCGATCCGTGTTGCGTTTTACGTTGGCTGTCGACCAGACAAATCCTCGGTTGAGCTAGTGATCACAAAAGGGGCAGGTTGTCCATACCCATGAAAGCGACGGCGTTTTCCGCCCCCATCAACTGCACAGGAAGGGGATGTACGGAGGATTTCAAATATTTTGGTGATTAAGTTTAGCGTGCCGTGCCTTGCGTGGGTCTTTAACAGGACTGCGTGCAGAGAGCTTTGACAGCGGACAGCATCTGGCCTCTCAAGTGTCATGACGAGAAAATGAGGTGGTAGAGCTAGGGAGGACTAGTTTGAGTTTGGCGCAGGCCAGAAAGAGAGAGCTGTTGGAGGGATTGGATTGGGTGGTTCGTCCCCTCTACAACCAGGATGGTGCTGGTGGTAAGAGGACCCTTTTGTCCCAGTGGCCTAACAAGAGCTAAATGATTGCGATATGGTAGATTGACCACTTAACGTTTTTGCACTGCGAAAAGGAGGAGTTGGTGTAGTTGACTAACGAAAGCGGGCTATTTTTCGCGGGTTGTCAAACCCCTGCGGATGCGACCCCTTCCAAACCGAAACAGTCAGCGTCGCGTGTAGGAATAGTGCATGGCTCCAATCTTGGTATCCGCTTAATTCTCCGCGTCCTGTGGCTGGTGAAGTCGGGTTGCAACCCTTTCAGCTGGTGATGGATCACAAACACCTTACTTACATACTCGCCTTGGGAAAGAAAGATTTTGAGTCCAGTGGCGCTTTGAGCGAGGTTGACTTTTCTGCTTCCTGGAAGAATATGTCTTTTTCGATGCACATTGTGTTTGAGCACTGTGAGGGTAGGTTTGCCTTAGATCTCCATGTCAAGGGACCGCTGTCAATGAAAAGTACCCCAACTAGCGGGCCCCACTGTCCTTATAAGGAAAAAACGGATAACGTGCAAGGATAGTGGGTGGGTGGCGGCAAGTAGATCTGAGGTTCAGAAGAATAAGATGCTGGATAGGAGCAAGGCTGGCTAGTTAACGGGACATACAACAGGATGAGTTTTGGCAACTTTGTGTGTTTACACAAACAAAGTCATACTTCGATGTGCTTGCGACTGCGTGGGATTATGAACAGCTAACAAAGAGCTTGCGTTATATACAGTAGGTTCGTGTGCATCCAAATATATATATATATATATTCTGCGCAATACTGCCATCAAAACTTGGACATACGTAGTAAAACATGATAGTGCAACCATTAAATTTTAAATTTGTCTGAGATTATGCCAGCCATCCGTCCAAAAGTTTCTGCTCCAACTCCAAGTCGCAAATGCTCTTTACTCAACGCGTTGCGAAGAGATAAACGCGCCCACTGTTGTCGTCGTCGATGTAATAGGCCACGGGCCTTCCCTAGAGTACGTTCTGTACACCCCATCCTTGTGGCCATCCACGGATGTCGAAGAAGTGTCTGAATGTCTCCATCCATTCATATGCGGTTTGCTCTGCGGGAATGTGAGCTCGATCCCTAATTAGGTAGTCCTCCTTTCCATTCCTCACTCAGCTGCTTCGAGGAGGTAGACGAACCTGCTACGATATGTTCCCGCAAGCAATCCATTCCCCTCTGGACCAGAAGAACCGTGTTTCGTCCCCGCAAGGAACCCCATCCACAGATGGTTAATTGACATCCTCATCATGCAAGCCTCTGTTGTACATGCTCTTCACGGCGATTTCCAATAGATTCGTAAAACGGTCCTCCTCAATGAAGACGTCATCAAACTGCCAATCATTTTTCGAGTCACTGGTCTGATGCTCCGCCGCGTGGCTGCTAAAATATTTGTGACCCATTTTCTTCGCAAGGTTTCGGAAACCCTTATTTTCTAGTTTGGGAGGCAGTATTTCAGCGATTGTTGAATGCGGAGGTAGGAACATTCCATGCGTCAGCCCGGCCCCGTGCACGCCAGTGAGGATGTCGGTGTGGCGAACTAGTTTTATTTGCTCGCGAAAGGGCAACGCAGCCAAATCAACCACGTTAACCTCAACCGCTGGGAATTTGGCCTTCAGGCGCTCAATGTATTGGTCCTGATTAATCAGGCGTCTCTTCTCCTTGCGGTCGATGAACGTAAGCACAAGCGGGCTTTTCCCCATAGGGCGAGCGTCATCTCGGATGTTATAGAAGTTGAGAACTCTTTTGGAAAACGTTTGCAGAAGTTCCGACTGTTCACAATCGAGCGGCTCCCAATGACTCTGCCAAAAGGGGCTACCACCCCCAGGTAAGGGGACTATAATGTTATCCAAATTGATATCTGCGGAGGCTGATATGTCTTTCAATCTGATCGTTGGCTGCTTCGCAAAGAGTTTCCATAGATCAAAGTAAGGCCCGTCCAGGAGGTCATCCAAGATAATAACTTGGGTATTGGCGAACTCCTCTGGCGTAATGAAGGGGAGGGTGGTGTCTCTATTTTGAGCCATCCTCATGGTATCCAACGTCAAGGAGAGCCCAACAATCTCCATGAGAGAATGGAAAACGTTATAGTGGCTGTCTTCACGTTTAATGAGGACCGAGAAATTCCGTCGTCCATGTGGAAGCTTATGGGAAGGCTTTTCACTCCTATCGAGACGTACAAAATCGCTGAATATCTGTCGCGGTCCCGTCCCATACCAATAGGCCGGAAACCCTTCAAATTTTGGCACGCCGTTGCTTGATTCCTCAGCGCTTAATGATCGAAGGGAACAATCCAGGATGAATTTCCTTTGGCTGTGGTCGAAGGTCGCGGGTCCTGAAACACAGAATGAATCTACTCGCCCTCCTGGGTCGATTTGAGTATGAAAACAGGTTATGTTTGACTTGGAGTTGACATCACAGTAATTAGTCTGAGTCTTGGCGACATTCTCCAAGTACTGAAGGTCAAATCGTTCGGCGCAGAAACGACTCTGAGGGGCCGCGCTCAACGCTGAGGGGTAGTCTCCGGGAGGAGACAAGGCCACAGGAAGACCATCAGTGTGTTTAGGGGGATAGCCATGCTCTTGGATAGGAGGCGCTTGGGGAGGGACATCGTTTAGAGCATTCCTCGAGTCCTGAAAGAAAATTCCTCGTTGGGAATACACGCAGACCGTGATGAATATGAAAGTAGCGAGGCTCGCAACAATCACATAACGCCGCCCGCGAAAGATAGAGAGCATGCTGGCTGCACGTATCCGGCGGCAGGGAGGCTAGGAAGTGGACAACAACATTTTTTCTCGTCGGAGTCGAGAAATCAAAAAACGCCGTGCTGCTTGGGGAGAAAGAGGGTCCAAATCTTTCAGCTTTCGGTTTCATGTTTGGCCAATAATCAGACCTCCTCCGTGGCGCCAAAGCCAGGGAACAAGCTAAGAACAGGGGCTGTATCCCTGGCGGTAATAGCTTGCTAACGACTGGCCTTAGTCGGGTTGATTCGAGGATGAAGTCGTTATCCGCCCTTTTTAAAGTTATGTTGGCTGCCAACCGCCTTCACAAACACCAACATGCATACGCCCAAACAACCAGTTTTGCTAAGTATTTATAGATTTGTCTACTCCGAACTGCGTGCAATCTTGAAGCTGAAAAAGCACCAAAATGCTAACCTGCCTACCCCAGAGCGAGCCCCTGGATTTCAAAGCCACAGACTGTCCGTCAGCACTAAAAGTGGCGATGTGATGTGACTGGCACAACATACCAGGATTTGCATCCATGAATTAGTGGGTTGCGCGGGAACGAAACACTTTCCTTCTATCAAGCTGCCCAAAAATCTCCATGGAATATGAGAGGGCTATCCATTGGTCAATATTTTCGGGGCTTGACACGGTATTTCATGCCAAACACCCTCAGCTTGCGTCCGTGGCTGCCCTAATTTTCGAGAATCCTATTAATACGTTTGAGATATCCCCCGACGCGAAGTTCGCATCGAAAATCTCTCCTTTGGATTGTCTTCACTTCTACAAGGTGGACATTGACTTCGGAATGGTGGGAATATTCTGATATCTTTCTCACCCTCTTACGTCAATCCAAACCCCTTGATGCTCTTGGCTCGAATTTCCTCCTTACGGACAATTCGCCGTTCCTACCAGCTCTCCGCCTCGACACTATTGGGGATCCCCAATATCACTCAAGCCAAATGGATCCAACAGCGATCCCTCTCACAACAGTTTTTACCCCACCGTCCTCTTGCTCGTCGAGCTGGACTTATGAAGGATCGTATTACAACAGTGTCACTGGCGGCCTCCTAATACAGAATGTCTTCGCCTCCCATGATTTCGATTGTTTCCCCCCTTCTTTCGAAGGATCAGGACGTGGGCAGAATCAACAAGTGTATAGCCCAGGATTCTGTCCCGTAGGCTACACCTCTCCAGCTGCTACAACAGTTAACGGAGTAACAACTGCAGTATGCTGTCCATCGTATGTCTGGCCTAGATCCTAGAACCAGTCCTTTCTTCAGTGTCAATGACGTCGCTAATATACACGACCTTCGCAGGGATTATACCTACTACACAACTCTCACGACAATCAACTTCTATTCCTCAACCACAATTTTTGCGGGATGCATCAGCGAATTTCCTGAAGGCGGCACAACAACCGTCCTCGCTCGTACTGGCCAGGAAAGCCTCGTTAACTCCGTTGTCACAGGCCCGGTGTCTATGTGGGGCCAACCGCTCGTCGTCCAGTTTAAATCAGCCGATCTCTCGCTCTTCAAAGACGCCCTCACTACCTCCAGCCCTTCCACCACCGGCACCACAGGACAAACATCGAGCCCGACTGATACCCGATCCCGGAGCGCAACCCCATCCCAAGCGGCGAATAATAATCAACCTTCGTCGACCTCTTCACTCGATTCTTTTCGCCCTTCTAGTGATAACAGCACGGGGCTCTCCGCCGGTGCCAAGGCTGGCATAGGTGTTGGTGTCGCCGGCCTTGCATTGCTACTCGCAGCGCTAGTGTTTTTCATCCGCCGTAGCCGCCGCCGGCGCAACGCCCACATGCCACCCCTCAATGCTGTTCAAGAGCTAGACGCTGGTACTTCCCACGCTGGTTTCTGGGCCCCAAAGCTTTACCGAAGATCTTCAGTGCACGAAATGCCTACTTCATAAAGTAGACGCGCGCGGGCTCTGATGTTGTACATTAATTATGTTACTTCAAGAAAACCACATAGATAAAGCGCACTGGGACCTGTTCGTATCCCGGGGTGGGGGTTTAATTTTTTTATTAATTTTTTTATTTTTATTTTTTAACACGCTATTCGGATATACTGGTATACTGGATAGCTGTCCGACTTGCTGCAACGCTAGATTGCTGGCTATCACTTGATCGCTTGCATCTCCCCATCATTCCTTCGTCCGCCCGTCCATCCATCCATCCGTCATCTCGTTTCACCGGCTATTCAACTTATGCCCACCCCATCAAATCCGAAAAACCGCTTCGCTCGAGGTAGCAGGAATTTACCCATGTCATCCGGCGAAGACCTTGGATTTACCAACCAACCAACCATCCACTTTACTTTTCTTCTCCCTTCTCCCTTCTCCTTTGCACAGCCAGGAATGACCCAAAGAAATCCCACGACACCTATCCGTCGAAACAGGAAACAAAAGAGCGAAAGAAAGAAAGAAAGAAAGAAAAATTCGCCACAGGATAAAAATACCTGGCGCATATTGGGAACAAAAACTTTTTTTTTAAAACTCCCGTCTTTCAACCGCCTTTTTATAAATTAAAAACCCCATCATCTGTGGCACATTTGAGTCGGGTGGGGTTCCGTTTTTCAAATCCCGCTCGTGATATTAACGCCTCTTTCAGCATGCAGCATGCAGCATGGATAGGACTTTTGCTGGTGGACGGTAACGTCAATCGCCGGGATCGTATAGAAAAATCTTGAAAGGAAGTCGGCGAGAACGATGGGTGTCCTCTGTACACACACGCACACACACACACACACACACACATATATATATATGCACACACGCGGCTTCTTAACCTGTGCCATGACATTGTTATTCGTACTTCCTGTCTCGTCAACCACGAAATTTCCTTTCTCTGTATTTTTACTTGTATATACCTTTTTTATTTTTATATTTTTTTTTTATAGTTAAAAGAAATCAGTCAATTTATCCTATAGTTAGATGGAAATAAATAATACAATTTTTGTTAAAAATTCAATCAAATTACGCCCCTCTTCCTCCCCCCCCACCTCTTTTTTTTTCTTTTCTTGCTTTTTCTTTTTCCTTTATCCAACGACAAAGAACTGATTGTAAATTTGAATTCTGGAGGGTACTTGGGGGAAGATCAGACGTCAGTCTCAAGTGGTATCCTTAATTCATACATAACAATCATCTGCCAATACTCTATAGAGATATATATTTATATATATATAAATATATATTGTATGTAAATATGCATGTATTCAGTAATAATAGATCATTGAACTATCATATCGTAGACCAAAACATCGTAAAATAATGAGGGGAAGGGAAAAAAGAAAAAGACAGAACCAAAAACACAGAAGACAACTAAAACACCACGCATGTATGTAATGATGAAAATAAATCAGAAAAAAAAAAAACATGCAGAGAGGGATTGAAACCAATAAGAGAGCGGAGAGCCTATAGCTCAGGCCATCATCCTCTTTCATGCCAAACTAACCTAGAAACAAACAGATGGAGAGAAGAAAAACATAAAAAAAAAAAAAAAAATCCGACTCAAATCCGACAAATAGAAGCCAATATAAAAATCACCAACCTATGATGGACCGGTTCCCTGGTTCTTCCCATCCCTTTCCCAGTACAAAACACAAAGAAAATCACTTTCGTCCAAGTCAGCCCCCCTCGGAGTAAAATATAAAATAGGGGCCTTGATGCTTTAAGCGTAAACCGGAAACAAAGATGAAAGTTAAAAAAAAATAATAAATAACAGGCATAGAAAACAATAACGTGGATTGGTCATGACAAAAAACACATAACATGGCAGCACACTCGTGTTTTATATTGGCGGTTGATTCAGAATGCAATCAATCCCCGTTGTCAATTGTCAGATTTTGACAATCCATGAGTCATGGCGTGAAAACCGCCTACCCTCAAATGTGTTGGGGAAATACGCAGCTAAGAGAATCCGCCAAATACGAGTGAAAGTAAGAAGAAAACGACGGAAAAAAATCGGATGGAGAATCGAAAAGCCATGAAGAAGGGTGGAAAAGAAAATATATGCATATATATAAATATAAACAAAATGGCCAAAAAATGCAAAGCATTGGGATGGATTGAAAAGGACCAGGTGGAATGGGATGGGATGGAATGAGATGTGAAAAAAAATCGTTGGAACATTGATTCATTCGAGTCGTCATGAGAAAAGATAAATAAATGAAAGAAAAAACGTAAAACGTAAGTCAAAATGAAAAAGAGACAAAAAAAATATATCAAGCATGAATAAAATAATAATAATAATAATAAATGATTTTTGAAAAAAAATGAGAGGAGAAAGAAAAAAAGGCGTTGTTGTTGATAGCCTCTTTTGCTTCATCAGCACGTAACTGACTCCTTTCGCGAGCCATAGGGTCGCGGATATGTTTCTCGATACTCATTAGGGTCCACAGGTCCCTTCCTCGGATTATAACTGTAGCTGATATCCTCTTCACGGATTCTAGGGGAATATCGAATGTTGCCCTCGGGGATGACTATCTTGGGATGGTCGTATTCGCCAGGGAAGACTTCGCCGAACAGCCCCTCCCGGCCCAGTCCGCTTGGCGTGGGCGGAGTGGTGCGCAATGTAGGTATGGACCTAGACGAGTCGTGACGAATGGGCATGGACACAGGATCGATCGGGTAGTTGTAGGTTCTGGATCTCGGCATCTGTGGAACGCGGGTAGGGGAAACACTCTTGTTCCGAGTGTAGAAACCAGCGCTTGGGTCGATACGGACGGCTCGGTGAGATACATAGTCCTCGCTTTCATCAACGACGGTGTATCTACCGGGCAATGGGGGGCTCGATCCTAAGTGCATTTCAGGAGTGCCAGGACTTGAATACCCCGAGTCTTGGGGTTCCCTCATCTTTGAGGTTCTGGTCGGCAGAGTTTCGGATCGGCGGGATAACCCTGGAAATGGCATGGTCTCTGACCGGCGAGGAAGATGGGGTTTTGAAGAGGATCGAGTGGAGATTGGGATGGGAAACCTTAAACCCGAAGGTGCAGAAGTAGCAGTTTGTAGAGTAGGAGGCCGAGGGGAGAATTGGGGTTTTGGTGATGGATCCAAGACGTCGGCAGACCCCCTGCGATCCTTTCCTGAAGAACTGGGCCTGGTTCGAGTCCTCCCGGACGAACGTCGGGGTGTATCAACGTACGGACTATAGTAAGCAGAAGGCGAAGGCCAAGAGGAGGACGGGCGGCGTTCAGTGTCGTATGAATATCCACCGCTTTTCGATCGTTGAATATACTTTTTGGCATCATCTAGTTTCGACGAAGACCATTCATCGGAGTATTCCTCGACCTTAGTCTGCTTTGGTTTAGATTCACTCGAACTTGGCTTGACTCGTGTTCGAGGATCTTCATATTCAGGTTCCGGTGTTCTTGGGGTGTAATAGTGATGATCCGAATCTAAATCACTTTCATCGTCGGGCTCGCTCACAACGAAAGCCTTCGGGTATTTCTCTGATCGTTCACGGTCCTTTCTCCGCTCTTTGTCCCTATGTTTTTCGCGGTCCGAGCGACTCGATTTCACCGACTCACGGGCTTCGCGTACACGCTCCTTACTTGAACGGACCGACACTGGAGGGTCGACATGTCTGGACTTCTTCTTTTCCTTTCCCTCTGTACTATGCTTCTTCTCGTACCCGTTATTCTTCCTGGAAGTGGGTCGAGGCTCCTCATGAAGAGGAATATCTTCATCAAAGAAGCGACTGCTTCTAGGGACACGCTCCTCATAAATAACTCCATTCCGCGACTCGTAAGACTTTGTGAATGTTGAAGGTCGATAGTATGAAGACGAGCCGGCGTCCTCACTATGATATCTTGGTTTCTTCTTCAGCTCAACTTTAAGGTCATAATCAGCTCGTTTTTTCTCATCCGACAGTAGCTCATAAGCCGACTGCACTCTCTGGAACTCGGGCACGGCCTCTTTCCGCTGTTCTTCATCTTTGATTTTGTCTGGGTGACACCTCAACACCAGTTTTCTATGGGCACTTTTGATTTCGCCAATGGTTGCATCCTTACTGATCCCCAGGACCTTGTATGGATCTATCGTAGTATGATCGGACATATCGTTGGAGAGAGAGAGAGAGCGAGGTTACACGGCGAAGTGATTCGCAGAGCGTGAACGAAGGCGTTGTGGGGGGGGTTTTAGTTCTAAATGAAGGGAGATAGATATATGTACGGGTGTATGCGATTAGTTTGTCCTCGGTAAATATCAATGGATTATGTAGGTGAGCAAAAGGCAACGATGACGGCAGGCCAAGCGTCAGCAATGAGCCATTGCGATGTATTATTCTTCTTTATTCGGTGATGACAGTGATAAAGTTGAATTGGAAATGTGAAACGGCCAGCTTGGACTTGGTTGGAGAGTCTTTGTTGTAGTTGTAATTGGCCTTGGGAGGCGGGGGGGGGTAGAAGCTGGCGGTTTGACAGAGTATGAAGAAAGAAAATTGCAAAAAAGAAAGGAGAAACGAAGAAATCGGGAGCAAGTCAACAATAAATCAGAAAAAGGGAAAGAATCGTATGACAACCACGCAAGTCGCCACGAGGAAGAAGAGAAGAAGCGGGAGTTATCGAGAGCAGAGAAGAGAGCGGTGCTGGCTAGCGCCAACGGCGACGGAGCAACGAGGAGTTGATGAGGAGATCTTGGGCTAGAGTTTGGCTGGAGGATTAGCTGGAGGATTAGCTGGCCGGGGCCGGGGAAACAAGACGCTGGGGCTGGTCCGGGTGAGACCTGTGCCACGGTCCTCTTGCGAACAAGAAGGCGAGAAGGCGAGAAGGCGAAAGAAGCGAGAGAGAAAGCGGCCAAGGGCAGCCAGGGGGAAAACAGGGGAAGATTCCAGAGTCGACGCTGGAAGGGCGTGGAAGGCGACAATGATGAGTAAGAAGAATAAGGAGGAGGAGGAGAAGAAGAATAATAATAATAATGATAACAACGACAATGGATGTTGCCAATGGAAACGGTGAAGAAGAGAAGAACGGTATTATCGGACCAACAGCAACAATGCTTGGAAGACGGGGCAGGGCCGGCGCCTGTCGAAGCGGTGAAGCAGCAAATGACGACAAAGAAGAAGAAGAAGAGACGAAGAAGCAAGAAGCAGACAATGAGAGGAAGACTATTTCAATTTGTGAGGATCAAAGAAAGCGGAAGATGGCGAGGGTCCCAGCCAGCACTGGCGATCACGAATGCATGGGAGAAGACGACGGCGCAGAAGGAGAACGAGAGTTAAAAGCGTCGACTTGAGCCTTGGACAGGAGTGTCCGGATGATGCTGGTGCTGGTGCTGATTGATGTGTGTTGCGCAGAGGGGAAGCGCCGGCTGAGGCTGGTCACGACAGAGCCAGACAGGCCTATACAGGAATGATCCTGGAGAGGAGAAGGAGTAGGATGAGGGAGGAAATTGTGTGTGAGTGTGTACACTTCCGGGCTTCTTAGTTATCCACAATTACTTCTTAACATAGCTATTGATTGATGTATATAATAATTCATATCTAGAAACCAGCGCCTGCTTGCAGCCGTCAATCACCATCTCTCATCTCAAACCAGACTCCTACTCTCCCTGCAATCTCCTTCTTCCTCTACTTCTCCCTTCACAGTCCTGCTGCTCCTACACCATAAAAACACCCGGCCCTGGAAGTTAACATACAGCTCGAACGGTCCCTTTCCAGGGCTCCAACTGTCCCGAAAATAAATGAATAAATGAATAAAAATACGTGAATGTAGGTACGCTACACGCTTCATTCGAAGCAGACTATGTATGGTGAATTGCGCATATGCAGCTATCCAGAAGCGTGGTGGGTTTGATATGGGGCGCGCAGGCTCTGGGGACAGAGGGCTTCTCGGCGATGATCAGATCCGATTCGCAAGCCATTGATTGATTATTGGCGGCTTTGTTCTTGGCTGGATCGTTGACAAAGCGTTGATGAAAATAAATTAACTAAATCAAACTTTTGAAAAAAAGAATTACAAAAAGAAAGGCTGACTGACTGACTCCGTTTGAGCGTAACGCACGAGAGAGAGTTGCCCGTTGACGTGATAGGATGCCCTTTTTCACCGCCGAATGCCTCGCCCCTCCATTTTGGCACTAACCAGCTCACTTCTTCCTGGGCTGCTGCGGAATAAATCACATTCCATCCATCCATCCACCAGCCAAGCTGAGTCTACTTGTGGTGATGAGTTCATTAGGGTTATGGTGCAACTCCGGTGCGTACGAAGGAGCAGGGCCATTTTAGGTAATAAAATGTTGAATGAAGAAAGATGGTTGACTAAATATGACATCTTTACTTCAAAAACGTTTGTTGTTCCGTGGTTAGGTCTGGCCTGTGTTTCCTGGTTCGTTCCTGGTGCGAAACTCTGTTGTCGGACTCCCCTTTGATAATTCCGAGTTTGCATGTTGATGAAAAACTACGGCTGTAATTATTCATGATTATTGTTCTCGCGAGCAATTTCCACCAGGCGGGGTAGAAAACCCAGCGAAAGAAGAAGCTAACTGAAACCGTGGTTTGGGTCCCGCTTCTGCTATCTTTGCAGTGACGGCCTGGATGGGGCCAGCTCGCAGCGAGAAAGTAAGTTCAGGGTTCACTCTGGGCGGGCGGGGGACCCATCTTTTCCCACATCACTTCTTTCTCTCATCCCACATGCACCCAATAAAAGTCGATGGGGACTGAATGAATGCCATTATGGAGGTGTGTTTGCACTCTGGTTGGATGAAGGATGATTGAATGAATAACCTCGGAAACCCCAGGTTTGCCGTTTTCGTCAAGACACAGACACAGCCGCAGTTCCGTGGACGGGCGGGGGGGGGGATTATACCGATCAGAACTACGCTGCTTAAGTCGTGATTGTTATCCAGCCGGGTTAAGATTGTCCACCAACCGGTTTGTTGGACTACTGGGCGAGGGGCTTTGATGGAATAATAATGACGACAGAGGTGCAACGCCCATCATCCAGAGATTGTGAAAGCACTGGACAGCCCTAGAGGCCAGTGTCAGACAAGACAAACCAATGAAAACGTACGGATCTATGGAGAGTACACACATTATTATGACTTGCACGTAGGATCTTTGATCATGATTCTCAGCCATCACTATCAATGGCAAAAGCCCTTGGAACCGTGTCAGGAGTCGTCCAAGTCCGTAGACTGACATACCTAGCTCTCAGTCCATGCCAAAACCCGGGAGGTGAGGCAACGCCCAGAGTGGCTCTTTGCTGGGGCTCCTTGCCGTGACTGGGGCGGGTGATTGGCGTACGACACTGGTCATCCGCAATGAGGGAGGGGCCATCCCTGGCCATCCCTGGCCTCCCGTCCAGCCGCCCATCACGCTGGCTGATTTGTTGGTCCGGGTTTTAACTCCCTGCTGGCGCTTTGGCAAAACCCCGTGCCAGCGTCCGCCTGAAATTGGGATATAGGTTAACTGCGCACGCACGAGGGGAAGGGGAAGAAAGAGGTAAAACCTTGGAAGGGTTGGAACTAGTCTCCACAGGTGGTTTGAGCCATATTCTATTTGGGGTCCCTTGTATCACAATATCAACCTGCTGAGCATGGCGGGGTATGGAGGAGGAAGAGGAGGATCATCACGTCACGCCCTTTATCCTCTGTTTGCTTGGTCTTTTTTGACGCCATGGTTATACCCTAGAAGGGTAAACAGTTAGAAACCGGGAGTTACATGGATTCGCTGAGGAGTTCCTTTGTAGACGTTAACAACATCCAACAGTAAATGCTTAAAACGGGTGAAAGTAAAACCCAATAAATAATGGAAATAAAATTCAAAAACAAGAACAAGAATCGGAATTTAGAGCTTGCAATCCAAGGCTAACTGTCAGCCTTCTCTCTGGCGACCAACCAACCAATGCTAAGGGATCGTTGTTGTTTATTGTCGCGAATCCCCGACAGGCTGCATGTTTCCCATACCAACAACACAAGACGACACAAGACGGACAGGGCGCCGGGCGGGCGCCAATCCGGTTGGGCTGTCAGTCTTGTCATGCAGCGATGAGAGCCCGCTCCCACTTCTTGGTATCGAAACACATCGCACCCCGAAGTCCCGAGAGAGAGGCGATTTCTGCATACCGTGCAGGGCGGGAATTCAGATATGACGTATTATTTCTATTCATTCTCGCCGTTCGCCGGGCTTGGTGGGGTGATGTCTGCGCGCCTGGGCAATCAAGGCCTTCTGAGCACACGGTTTGGCTGATGGATGGCCTGTTGGACTCAATTATCCTTCCAAATGACAGAAGTCGCTCGAATCCCCTTCCCTCACCTGGGCAACCCTAGGAACAAGGTTCGATCCGGCGCGTTCCATGAACTTTCTGGCTGTCTTCCAAGTGAGCTCTCTTCCCCGCTTTCCACGCCCGCTACAAGCCATCCATCATGATCCATGCGTGGATCGTGGCTGGATGGCTGGATGCTGGCGCACTGACAAGCGTGTGTAATATTCCAAACCCGTTTGAACAGGGCAATACCGCGCTGGCGATGCGAGATAACCTGAAATTACGTGCCCTGTACGGTACATATCCTGGCCCTTCTCCAGCTCGGTTTCCCTCGCTGACTCCATTCAATGAATGTCCCGATTTCCTCACACGCCTTCTCGAATTCACCAAGGGAGCCACCAAAATACGCCTTTTATCGCATTAAAAGCGATACTTGACAAGATACGCGCTGCCCCTGCATGTTCCTCTGTTCCAAAGTTTGGTCCAAATTCTGTGCACACAAGTCTCTGCGCCGTACATGTACATACAGCCCTCGCTCACCGATATCTGAAGAGTAGAGTTAGCTCCTTGTCATGAGGGCCAATTGGCGGTTCGATTGGCGGTTCGATTCTTCATAAAATTTCCACCAGCGCTCTATTTCCAGGCCATGAGGGAACTAACTTTGAAGCTTAGGAAGGTTGCCACTGTCAGCAGGTTATTCCCACGGCCCCAGAATTGCCTCGCTGAATGATTTTTGCAGCTGGCGTGGGATATTGACAAGCAGCTGAGAGACCGGCCACCTACTTTGCCATCCCGGGTTCGCTTCTGCAAAAGCCCCTGGTCGTGGAGTTAATTCCGGGGGCAAGTGGCGGCTCAAACCGCAATCTCTCCGCGTCTCCGGATTTACTCCGGACAAATCTGGGCCGCTCTGGTCCCGTCTCAAACAGCAATGGGTTCCACGCTTGAAGCTCTCCCAACGGAGATTTTGACGATAATTGCTGTTAACTTAGACACCTTGGGCCAACGACTGCAGTTGCTATGCACGTGCCGCCGGCTCTATAACGCGCTATTGCCCACGTTGTATAGAGCTATTTCACGTTCTCAAGGAAATGTTGTCCCCTTGCTTCGGACTATCTTACAAAAACCATGGCTTGCTCAGATGGTCCGCGAATTACGCTTACCGACCACGAAGCGGTCGCTCTTCACTGCTGATGAAGATCTAGGCTATGAGCGCTGGACAGCTCTGGCCGCTGCTGAACCCATCCTCCGCAAGGCCGTTGAGCCATTCTTCATCGATGATATATACGAACAGGAGAAGTGGCTGAGGGATCTTCAGACCGGTTCCCCAGATGCGCTCATTAGCTTGCTGGTACTTTCTCTGCCCAGACTGGAGAAATTGGAGCTCGAGCTACCTGGGTATCATTATTTGAGTCGAGTAGCTCATCGATCTGCTGGAACGGCATATCGAGGGAATAATTCTTCATCAAATCGCGATGACCATCGCGAGGAAGACACAGCTCCTATTATTCTCCCACGCCTCACCTCTATGCATATGTATTGGCCCGATGAGAGCCAAATGTCTGTCGACCTTGCATTACCTTTCTTCCAGCTACCAGCAATTCGACATTTCTCTGCAGCCGGTTTTCTCAAATCTGTGACCGAATGGAAGCACAAGAGCCAGTCACCGATAACTCACATCCTCCTGATGTACTGCCTATTAGAGGATGGGGCAAAGCAGATAGTCCAAAGTTGCAAGAACCTTCAATCATTCATATACCTCCATTCAGAGGCGGATATGATCGAGGGAGACCCCGACCCCGACCCCATGATTAAACCCCTGCCTAAACTCTTCCGCGACTCCCTCCTTTCAGCGCGACAGAGCCTTGAAACACTCTGCCTGGACTTCAACTCAGATACGTCAAGCGGTGGCGCACGCTTTACCACCTTCGGCTCCCTGTCTGAGTTCACGGCACTCAAACATCTCCACATTACCGCCTGCATTCTCTTGCCCCTCTACTGCCCTGCGGGCTCTCATTCGTCTCCCAGTCAACATCTTCCAGACATCCTACCGAGATCCCTAGAGATGCTTCATGTTGAAGGGGTGGAAGCTGAATGTCTCAATAAGGTCGTAGAGCGACTGTCATCCTTCGTCAAATCTGCGCCCCAACACGCCCCCCGCCTTCGCGAGGTGCGTGTCATGATGGTGAAGATTAACGCGGATAATGCGGCCTGCAAAGCGTTCGGGGCTGTTGGAGCTGAGATGGGCGTGGTCTGCAAATTCAGCGCGTTGTGTGCATGTTTCACACCATCTGGTAACAAGTGAGGTTGTCAGGGGGCGAGAGGGATGGGGATATATGAAAATTTGCTTTCGAGAAGGGGATTTGCTGGTTCCTGGTTCCTGGTTCCTGGTTTCGTTTTCTGCTCATTCATCAAGCAATACAACTCAGATATATAATAGAATGGAAATTTCCACTCGCTAGACGAGTGCTAATGGGTAGTTATCTTTAGCTGGTGTGTATTATTATATTATACTAGTATCTAGTCCGTGTAGGTACGCATTTTAGATAGTGAGCAACAACTGCTGTTGCTCTCACGGGTCAAGAAATCAATGCTCGGATCTCACGTAGAAACGAGATTTCTGACCACCTTTAATTTTTTTTAATTTTTTCCTTCTTTTTTGGCAGAGAAAATGAATCAGCGGCGGGTCAAATATGGTAAAAGAAGCAGGCCCCAGAAGGGGGTTTACTGTCAATAAATAAATAATTAAAAAAAAGAGGCGGGCAAAAAAAAGGAACGACACCAGCAGGATTCGAACCTGCGCTCCCGAAGGAAATGCCTGAACTTGCAGCGACTGAACGCCACATAGCAGGGCACCGCGTTAACCACTCCGCCATAGTGTCGGAATTTGGTAACCTTCGTCACCTGCACTAGATATTTGTCGATATCCATGGATGTCGATGAGTGCTTCTCCCGCATTTTTTAAACGCGCGACATTCTCCAAATTGTGGGGAAGGGAAAATTTAAATTATAAGCCATTTACGGGGGAAGGTTTACTTTAATTAAGATCTAACCTGCCTCCGAACTCGTACGTACAGCACTGGAGGTGGTGTACCCCCTCGTCATTGCGGCTTTTTTGGTGCCAAATTGACCATTTTTCCAGCCCCAGGCTCCAATTCTATCCAGCTACTGGTAGGTCCAGGTCCACGACCAGGGGGCTATTGAACTTCTTACCACCCCGGTGCGGCCAGCTCGTTGCCATAATCGCGGCGTTGACAATACACGTCTCGTTCCTTCCCGGTATAGTCCCGGCACCTTTTGCCACTTGCGATTCATCATTTGCCCGCAGCGTCGGAGATGACGATCCCAAAGGACCATCATTTCGAAGACGAGGCTGTGTTTTCCCCGTGAGATCGATCAGGCATTGCTTTTTGCTGTTGAGTGGAGGTAGTTCTCCGCGAACCGAACTCAGCTCTTTGAATCTTTCACCACTCTGGAGTGCGATATCCCACAGAACCCTGTCGTACCCTCGTCCTTCATGGACATGTCCACAGATAGCTAATCGTGGTCGCACCCTCCACAGCGCTTGACGCAGATGCTCGCAACCGAGCGAGCCGTGTCTATTCTCATCGCAGTGGGACCGCGGCGGGGTGTGAGTCAAAACGATATCGGTATCTAGCGGTATCTTATCCCAGATGCCACAAGCTTCTTCGGAAGTGTAACTAAACGCCCATTTCCCGCAGTAAGGGGTGTACGGAGATCCAAATATTTTGAATATTGATTGAGGGCCACCCGGATTAGATAGTCGGATAACGGCGGATTCATGGTTCAAGTAAACGATGGAAGATTTGGTGAATAGAGCCTGACAATCGTCTGCCGACTCCCGTCTTTGGTTGTGAAACGACTGCCAGTGTCGCTTGTAGAAATTACCGTCGAGGGTGATGTCGTGGTTACCTTCAGACATGTTCGAAATCATATTAGCGTGTCCCTAGAAGTAGGTTAGTTGAATGAGAAAGGGTAATAATCTAACCCGCAATCACGATTTTCACTTCGAAATCCGCGCGCTCAATCCATTCAGCTGTTTTTCGTAGTTCGCTTAGAGTTCCTTGATTCGAAAGGTCTCCAGCATGGACCAAGACGTCGCCTTTCGGCAGTTTGAAAGCACCATCTGGCGGTCCATAGCCATGTGTATCTGAAATACAGACAATCCGGGTACGAACCATCTTTCGTCAATCAAAACTTGAATATACGAAGTTCTCGACAACTCCAAAGCCGGAAGAACGGGAGCTAGAAGATACTGTAGTCTCCACGTCGGTATTTCCAAAAAGGGCGAGAATTAACAGACACACTTTCTGGAAACTCGCGATTGTAGTTACGTCGTTGATAAGAGAGTCCTGGAGCTTATAATCGCAATTCTCAGCAGATCGAACATGTTGAAAGCCAATGCTAGAGATGCTTGTCAGCAAGGTTGGAAGCCGCAATCCTGCTAAGCCGGCGTGATCGCAACCGTTGGGTCAATCGAGTAAGACACGCTGATCTGAGATATGGGAGCAAATATGGTCTGTAAGTTTAGCTGGATAAAAACTGCGTCGGAGAGCTTTGACAGCACAAAAACACATTCGAGGCTAGAGCTCTATTGCAAGTTCCATACAAACGTAGCGGAAAAATTTTCTAGATGTCACTGTGTGCTGCAGACACAGATGGTGAAATATGAAATCCCCATAAATTGATGGAGTGAGCCTCTGATTCTCGATATCGAATCTCGATCAAGTTATACAATGGGATGCTGCGGAGGAAATCTTGAAAATAGTTCCATATCACGTGAGTGCTTGAGTTCTATTGGGCAACTTAGGGCTGGGCCTGGTTTGTCCACACAAACTAGTCTCGCTTAAGCCATTTCTGCCATCGATCCTACGACTTGCGCGGTTTGAAGGAGACCACAACGACCAAACGACACGACACTTAACTCGACAATACACTATCCAAGGTGTATCATCGAGCATAGCTCATCGCCTTGCTGGATACTTGACTGTGAACCGGTGACAAAGCACGATGTCCACCTTCGAGCCAGTGGTGTGTTTTACCTCTCTGTCGGCTTGGGATTTGCACATTTTCGATAAGGGCTTGGAAAAACTGACTGGGTTTTTGTGATGGATATAGGTCGTCATCGACGGCAAGGGACATCTCCTTGGTCGCCTGGCTAGCATTGTGGCCAAGCAGTTGCTCAATGGCCAGAAGATTGTTGTAGTGCGATGTGAAGCCCTCAACATCTCTGGCGAATTCTTCCGCGCTAAGCGTACGATATATCCCTCTCCTTTTTGCAACTATGGTGAAAACCGACATTCGAAGATTTGGGGAAAAGAGGAATAATTTCGGTTGTTGAAGTATTTCAAGATGGATTCCGTGGCTGACTCGATTTTATCTTATCGCTTATAGTGAAGTACCATGCCTACCTCCGCAAGATCACCCGTTTCAACCCGACTCGAGGAGGTGAGAATAATGAGACCACAAAATTCCCTAAGTTGCAGACGACCAAATCCACTAATACGGAAGTGCAGGTCCTTTCCATTTCCGTGCTCCTTCCCGCATTTTCTACAAGGCTGTCCGGGGTATGATTCCTCACAAGAGCGCTCGTGGCGCCGCTGCCATGGAGAGACTAAAGGTCTTCGAGGGTGTCCCACCACCGTATGACAAAAAGAAGCGGGTTGTCGTTCCCCAGGCCCTCCGAGTCCTCAGACTGAAGCCGGGCCGCAAATACTGCACTGTTGGACGGTTGAGTCATGAGGTTGGCTGGAAGTACCAGGATGTTGTTGCAAGGTTAGCCCCAACAACAAATCCTCCTCATGCATTCCAAAGCTCATTATTGCAAACTTGGGACCATGATTGATCTGCTGCTAACTATCATGTTATTTTTAGACTCGAGGAGAGGAGAAAGGTCAAGGGATCCGCATACTACGAGCGCAAGAAGGCCGCGCGGAGACAACTTGTACAAGCCCAGAAGACTGCCAATGTGGACCAAAAGACAAAGACCCAGTTGGCAGAGTATGGCTATTAGATTTCTGGGTCGGGGTAATGGCTGGCATTAGGTTCTTCGAGGGTAGAGCTGGGTGCAATGTGAACGGCAAACCAATCGGCCTGTACCTATAATATCACGGAATACACCTTTAATGAATCAAGGGCAAAGTGATTGAGAGGGGAGCAGGGAAAAATAAGTCAAAAAATATTGATTATTTTAAGCTGGGAGCTATTGGGATGATGCCTTGTTCATATTACTTCATAACTGCCTGTCTCTATAAAATCTTCCATGGCGCTTAATCTGAATGGTTTCTTGTTCAATAAATTTCTAGGCATGTTGCGAGTGTGGCTCAAATTTTTATAAAAGTCATAATTACCCACATTGTGATTTGTGCTTTGCGAAACGAATGATCTATAGGGGTGGGCAACTATGGCGTCTTAAGGTTTGTGGGGGCTTTGGGGGTTGCGTTTCGGTGAAAACTCGGGGAAAGCTTTTGGGCGCTGAAGAGGGAGCAACAGCGATGTTAGAAGGGACTCAATCTCCTCTCTGCCCCTGATGTTCTCTTTTCTTGTGCTCAGAAAGTATCACCATTTATGATTGTGCGTCGTTCAGCCATTTCTTCGCGTTTCTTCAACATGTCCAGGGCAACTAGCCGTTTGCGAAATCTCACCCAGCACTTTCTCCCCGCATCCTCATGGTCCACAGACCCCAAAGGGGATTTCTCCCACCCGTTTAATCGACATACGCTTTCTCCTACATTCTTCCTCCCGCGCGCAGCTGCTATTGAACCGGATGTATGCTCTTTATAAAATAGCACAGCTCTTCTCGTTGCATTTCGCTAATTGGAAGCATTCTGTTACGGACAGGCCCAAGCTATTTATCATGTCACCACAAACAACAAGGTCTTGAGGAGATCATACATCGAGACAGCGGATCGCGCGCGGGGTTTTGCTTACTACCTAAAAAGACATGGCTTCAAGAGAGTTGGCATATTATGCCCTAACACTCCAGCCTTTTTGGAGTCGATTTTTGCGATTGCCGCAGCCGGCGCGGTCAATGTTGGTACGATGATACCTTCCTTGCTTTCCATTCTGTAGCCCCTCCATACTAAAATTCAAGCTCAAGCTGTCAATTATAGGTTAAAACCAGAAGACATTTCGTATATCTTCAACCACTCCGAAGTCGATGCCATCGTTGTGGACGAAGAATTTGTCCCGCTTCTCAACGAGTTCAAGAAGCAAAATGGGCATGTGCCTCTGATTATCGACACAGATACGGATGCTGTAGAAGGGGAACTTAGCGGGCCGTTCGATCAAGCTGTATTGGAAGGCCTTCATTTTGATGCTTCATCCGGAAACCGTGGGTGGCAGGGATTGGAAGCTCAGACGCCAGACGAAGATGTGCTCATTGCGCTCGCGTACACGAGCGGCACCACTTCACGACCCAAGGGTGTTGAGTACATCCACCGCGGCTGCTATCTTGCAGCTCTCGCAAATGTAATAGAGTCCGGACTAAACTTCAATCAGGGCCGATGCCGGTACCTTTGGACGTTGCCAATGTTCCACGCTATGGGTTAGTTTATACCCTGGCCCTTGGAGAATTTATTGATTTGCGTCTCCTTTTCTTCTAATTTTCTTTCTTCCATTCTTCCGTTTTTTTCTCTTTTCTTTTGCCCCGTCAAGTTAACCGAGATTCTTTTTTTAGGATGGACGTTCCCGTGGGCTGTCACGGCAGCCAGAGGCACACATTACTGCCTGCGCAAGGTCGACTATTCGCTCATATGGAGACTACTCAAAGAAGAGGGAGTCACGCACTATTGTGCCGCACCGACCGTCAACACTGTTCTCTGTAACTCGAAAGAGGCAGAGGTACTTCCATCTCCCGTCCGAGTTACGGTTGCGGCAAGCCCCCCAACACCACACCTCTTTGAACAGATGGCAAAACTGAACCTGCAACCGGTCCACGTCTACGGGCTTACTGAGACTTACGGACCAATAACAAAGGGCTATTACTTGCCTCAGTGGGATACCATCCCGGCAGAGGATAAATATAAGAAGATGGCTCGGCAGGGTCATGGCTTCTTAACGAGTCTTCCTGTACGTGTGATAAAGACTGACGTCCCAGAAGGGACGATTATCGATGTCGAGAAGAATGGGGAGGAAACAGGCGAGGTTGTATTTGTTGGGAACATTTGTGCCAAGGGTTACTATAAAAATGTTGATGACACGAAGAAGTTGTTTAGCGGAGGAGTGCTCCATTCGGGGGATCTGGCTGTATGGCACCCAGACGGAGCGATACAAATTTTGGACCGTGCTAAAGACATTATCATTAGCGGTAAGTATGCTCGAGTTCTTCTTGCATTTCCCTTTTCGATGTCTTCGATCTCCCGTGAAATGCTAAGGATTCTTCTGGCGCGTTTGTCTAGGCGGAGAAAACATATCCTCTGTTGCATTAGAGTCCATGCTTGCAACACATCCGGACGTATTTGAAGTCGGAGTGGTGGCTGTGCCTGATTCTCATTGGGGCGAGCGGCCGAAAGCTTTCATCACAGTGCGAGATGGCAAGAAACTTGATGGCAAGGACGTGATTGAGTGGGCAAAACATGTGGGCGGTATCAGCCGGTTTATGGTCCCCAGGGAAGTCGAAGCTGTGCGCGAACTTCCAAAAACTAGTACTGGGAAGGTGAAGAAGAATGTGCTAAGGCGGTGGGCGAAGGGCACGGATCGGAGCCTTGAATAGAAATCTTGATACCATTTTGCTGTATAAGCGGCTCTGTTGTAGGATTATATGAATTTTCAGCAGCAAGGTGTTGAACAAGGAGATTAATGAATTTTATGTGCAATATTTGAATTAGCCAAAGCCAGTATCTTGAATCCTAAATTCTTTTTATAGACTCGCACCAGAAGAAGCCCCTCGTTGGTGTACTATTCCCATACAATCCAAGTGCAAGCTAGGGCAGGGTTACCAACATCATATACACACAAAAAGGCTTTTGCATTTTGGTTGAAATAATTTTCCAAATGACCTCTAGAGTGCTGGTCTAGTCTGTCGCTTGCTTCTGTTGATCGTGTGAGGCCACAACGTGCAACGTGCGAATTTCCTCAGAAATGCGCACCAGACCACTCCAGTGGGCCCAAGGTTAAGCCAAACTGCATCCTCCTGCCTCAGCGCCTCGTGTTTTCATGCTCTCTGCACTGTTATTGCCGGCGAATATAGTTTATCGATGATTCTTCCCTCTGGGATCTTGTTACAAGCAACATATTCGCGGACACTGCCGCGCAGCTCAGGGCTTCTGCGCCATTGGCCCACGCCAGCGCTTATTTCTCTAGCACCCAGCCTTATTGACTCCTCTTCTATCAATCATCCTGCCGTCGTTCACTTGGGGGTTGCCGCAACCGCCTGATCCCTTCATCAGCTGGAAGTCCGTTCCGCTGTCACTCACTTATCGTTGACGGAGATACGTTGTCACCTTTGTTCCTGGCCTCCTGCAACCGGCCACTCGTTGTTTCCTTCACCTTTCCTTTGCTTCACATCCCGCCTTAGTTCGCCTGTAACTCTGTTCTACGGTGGTGTTTCGTACAACCATCAAACCCGCTCTTGCGTATGCGGTTGACTTGCAGCACAAACCTGAGGAGTTCCTGCCTGCTCTCCATCCCGCCGAATCCCCTCATAATAGCCCCAAAGGTTATTTCTTGAGCTGTTCACAGATCTGCGGCTTCAACCTCCCGGCATACTACTAGGTTCCTCTGCCACCCCGCAACGCTTACATACTTCCCCACCCAGAAGTCCGACGCTGGGTATTAGGATCTCAGTTACACACTGGAGAGGTTCAGTGGTTTGATACACAGTCTGAGAGGGAACGATATCTGGTGGTTTTGCTAAGGACGATTCCTTCACAAACAGGATATTGAATCTGTCGACAATGCTACGTTCAAGGGCCCCACTACGGGGGGATGATGCCCCGTCGGAATCTTCGAATTCCACTTCTCCGGAGCGTGCGGCGGAAGATGATACTGATTTTTTCATGCATCTGGCGAATGACTCGGAGTCCTCAGTGGGAATGGGCACCTTTCGAGATCTCAATGTCAATATTAACCCCGACGCTGTTCTCCCACCTATCTCCCGCCTACCTCCCGAGCTCCTAATTTCCATATTCACAAAACTTAACTCTCCCTCGGATATGCTGAGATGCATGCAGGTGTCTCGGACTTGGGCAATCAATTGTGTGGGAATACTGTGGCATAGACCCTCTTGTAACACTTGGGATAACTTGGAAAGGGTAGTAAGGGCGTTTACAGAACCAAACAGCTATTTTCATTACCACGACCTCGTGAAACGACTAAACCTGTCCGCCCTGAATAAAAAGATCTCCGACGGATCAGTGGTTCCCTTCTCGCGTTGCAAACGAATTGAGCGCCTGACTCTGACTAATTGCTCCATGCTTACGGACAATGGAGTGTCGGATCTTGTGGATGGGAATAAACATCTCCAGGCTTTAGATGTCTCCGATCTCAAGTCTCTGACGGACCATACTTTGTTTGTAGTCGCAAGGAACTGCCTGAGACTTCAGGGATTGAACATTTCCGGCTGCATCAAGGTGACAGATGAATCGCTTATCTCCATTGCAGAGAATTGTCGTCAAATTAAGAGGGTATATTTTCTCTCCATACGAGATGAACTTCCTGGTACTTTGCTAACGGCAAATAGTTGAAATTAAATGGGGTTGCTCAAGCCACTGATCGGTCAATACAATCATTTGCTGCGAACTGCCCATCCATATTGGAAATCGACCTTCAGGGGTGCAGGTTAATAACCAGCTCGTCCGTCACCGCCCTTCTATCTACCCTTCGGAACCTTCGAGAATTAAGATTGGCCCATTGTACTGAGATTGACAACAACGCTTTTGTCGACCTTCCCGATGAGCTAGTATTCGACAGCCTTCGGATCTTGGATCTGACTGCATGCGAAAACATTGGGGATGCAGCTGTGCAAAAAATCATTAACTCCGCACCGAGGTTGAGAAACTTAGTTTTAGCAAAATGTAGATTCATCACTGATCATTCAGTGTATTCTATTTGCAAACTAGGGAAGAACATCCATTACATCCATCTAGGCCACTGCTCCAACATTACTGATACTGCGGTGATTCAGCTGATCAAATCATGCAACCGTATCCGATATATTGATTTGGCATGCTGCAACAGATTGACAGACAACAGTGTCCAGAAATTGGCTACTCTTCCGAAACTGAGACGGATAGGTCTTGTCAAGTGTCAGGCAATTACGGATCGCAGTATATTGGCCCTAGCAAAGTCTAAAGTGTCCCAGCATTCTTCAGGGACTAGCTGTCTGGAACGAGTACATCTTAGCTACTGCGTCCACTTGACAATGGAAGTATGTTGATGGTTTTTACCTTATCTAGTTTTGTTCTCTCCGCTTCTCCTTTCCTGCAATGACTGAGAATAAATGTTGATCGAAACTTCTATTTAGGGAATTCATTCGTTGCTGAACAGTTGCCCACGGCTCACTCATCTGAGTCTTACTGGCATCCAAGCATTCCTTCGAGAAGAATTGATAGCGTTTTGCCGCGAAGCTCCTCCTGAATTCACCCAGCAGCAACGCGATGTTTTCTGTGTGTTCAGCGGCGAAGGAGTCAGCGCTTTGCGTGATTTCCTTAATCGTACGATGGTTCCTTATCGCCTAGAGACCGAAGATGGAACGATGTATGACGATTCTGATGAGTTAGACGAAGCGGAGGGTCAAATGACGGGCCTTATGCATGCCGCCGTCATTAATGATGAGGATGACAGTGAGATAATGGATGGAGGAACCCCGGCTGCCCCTCTCGGATGAGAATCAACGACTCTAGTCATATTTCTTTCCCACCGTCATTCTGCCATTCGACACCCAGTATATTAAGGTCATCACCTTAATAAACACCAGCTCGATATTGCAAATGTCGCTACTGGTTCATAAATGAACATAATGCCGCTGCCATCCCGCAGTTGTTTAGCCCTAGTCATCAGTTAAAGATGGCGAGCCCGGTTGAGAGATGGATGCCAGCGTATTGCGCACAGAATATATCGACATATAGAGCTGAAACCCGCAAACGATGAGACACAATCTAACGAGACTATTTTTTAACATGGTGCATAACATTGCCCATAAGAACAACATACCCCCTTGTGCAGAAAGGGGGAGATTAAAAGCGATGGCTGGAGCATCTCTTCTATCTCATAAAATGGTATTTCTTCAGACCGCTACACACGTTTCATGCTGCAATTCATTCCCCATTCATCAGCCTCCAAATTTCAAACGATAAAGAAAGACAGGGCCATCAATGAAGCTCTGCCCCTTGTTTTTGAATTCTCTATTTCCCTCTTCATTTATCTCTATTATTACTACATGGCTATGATTATATGTTGCTTCGCTTTTCGTTCTTCCTGTTACTGCTTTTTAGGTTTTGTTGATCATACAGACTAGTTCTCACCATGTAGCTCCTGCAATGAGGATTTGGTTGAGATTACAACGAGAAAGAATCAGCGACCCTTGCTTGAAGTCAATAGTGTAGAACAAGCGTCTACAGGCTTTTGTTTTATTATGACGCTTATTATCTCTTTTGCCTCCTTTTGTCTTCTAGTTTTCATCTCAATTTGCCCTTTCCTGCTTTTCAGTTTGCTAGACGAGATAGTTCTGCCTTCCTCTTGCTTCTGTATTTTCTTTTCACAACTATTTTCCGCCTCGGGTTATTTATTTTTCTTCTTACGATATCTTTGCTTGGAGAGATGGAGGACGTAATTACGAATAAAGCCCTTCCGTAAAATTAAGTTACGATTTGAATGTAAACAACCTATTTTAGAAGATGAGAATACAGAGAAGATGAAAGCATGACATGATTAATATGGCTGTATCACTTGCGGTTCTGTATTTCTTCGTCCTCTATGCTTCCCAGTTTAGATAGCTTGGTGATAGCCACTTTGACTTCGGTTGAATGAAACCCAATAGATCATTCTGCGCTTCATCCTATTCCCCTCGCGACCTATTTATTCTCTCATCATTCGAAAAGAGAGCGTGGGAAAGAAATAACGAAGTGAAGTGAATAGCGGACATGCTGGCGTATGATATAGTTGCTGGCTCGCTGAAAATCGTCACAGATAGATAGTCTTCTCTGTATATTGTCGTTGCAGGCAAGAAAAGGTTGAAAGGAGGATGAAAAAAAAGGAGAATGAAAACGATCATGTCAGTAATACAGGCACGCATACAGCGTACATTCAGCCATCACAGCCATCATTATTTATCCTCTGCGTGCTCAAGGTAGTCCTGGTTTTGGGTTTTCACCCTTCGCTTCGAATTGTGATTGCTAGACCCCATTGTCATTTCCGGGTGACTGTTGATTCGTCCCGGCTGCGGAAGAACCAATACCAACATAGCGACGACGACTGCGCGCTATGTCCCCCGTTTCAGCAATTGGTAGAAAATTCAAAATACTGTCAAAGATCCGTGGACGAAGGCGCAGGTTTGGGGAATTGTTTTGGATAACGCTAGCAGCGGAGATGGAACATGAAGTTGATGATGGCGTTGATGATGGCGTCGATGGCGCCGTTTCGCTTATCCTATTACTTGACCCTTCAGGAACCGAATAGAAGGTTTCATGGGACACGGATGTTTCAACGGAAGGAGTGATAATACGTGAGTGTGTATCGCTCCTGTTTCGCTCTTCAGGTGTCCTGTCCAAACCTAAGACACAGAGCATGGTCTCATTTCCATGGTTGTTTTGTTCCGTGGTGTCGCTGTCATAACCTCTATCAGCGGCATTGGTCGTGATCGAGCTGGGGTTAGGGGTGCGCAGTTGGGTAGCTGTGGTATTCTTGTTAACATCATGGTTATTCTCATTATAGGCATTGTCCACTGATGGGTTTGAAATCCGCAGTAGTCCCCGCTGCATTAAGCTTGGGCATGGCTGGGGAGGTGCAGGAAATACGGAGGAGGGCATCTGATCTACCCCTGAAAGTCGAGTCTGTGAGAAAGTACCCCTTTCTGACCTAGAAAATGGAGTTAATCGTGATGGAAATGACTCCTTAGCCGGTGTATATGCCTGTCCTTGTTGTATATCTGGCGACGGGGTTTGCCATCCACCTTTTCTACATACTCTATTTTGCCCAGTCACAAAGTGAGGGTCAGCTCCATGCCCTCTTCTCCTTAGAGTTGGTGGTGAGAGAGGGAACGTAGTTACTAGCGCGGACCGTTCACAGGAGCTTTGCCCTCTGCTGGAAGATAGAGTTGGTGAGGAGGGGATTCGTTTGCGCGGGATAACAGACGGAAAGCGTGATATCCCAGTAGTGTTAGCTTTACCCTGTGGCCCTTGGGGTTTAGAATTTGCTGTTGATTGTCCTCTGGAGACTGGGATTTTAAGAACGACCTTGGGTTCACCTTTTTGCATGTCTGAGAAACCAACATAAGTAAACTTCCGGTGCTTGTAGCAAGAACGCTTTCGAATAGTTAGTGGACGTGGGATCAATGACAGAGCCCCCTTCAATCTAGATCCGCCCTTCTTTAAGAACATCTCGTGCAATTTAAAGCAATCCTTATGCGGTCCAAGAAACAGGTTAAGGTGGCCACGCCGTAGCTTTGATTCGAGATCGTCCACTCCACACAATGCGCTTTGCATTTTATAGCGGCGTTTGGCAACGTTGGCATTCCACACGACATCATCCTTCACAAGAACGAAATCCAGACTATAGTCATCGAATAATGTAACCTGGGAAAACACCTTAAAGGTTGACGAACACTTCCTGAAAGTAATCATAGATTGGCAATACTCTCTCAGTAGGAAATGACAGATCCCCTTACTAAACCATGATATTGTGAATTCACGATCCTCGTTGATACTAAGCTCGTATGCGTCCAATGCTCGACGGAGATCGCCCACTGAGGCCCAGAGGGAGCCGATGTTGAACCACACAGGTGCGCGGGAGAGAAGGGAGGAACCGCGCCGAAGGACGTCAGTGTGCTCCTCGAGGGATTCAACGTACTGTGAGTGTCGGGCATATAGGACCGCCGCAGCTAGGGAGTAAACAGCTTCTTTGAGGTCGATCTGCGGACTACGGTACTTCGAAATCTCGCTATCAAGCATGCGCGGAGAGGGGAGGTGGCCAGTCAGATAACGAGGCCTTGGATGAAGCGTTCCCATTCTGACGTTTGATTCAAGGGGGCCTCTCAAAAGGGCCATAACAGACTTCGAGATATACAAATGATATGCACAGGCGAGATGAAAGAAGCCAAAAAGAAAAAGGCAGCCGCCTCAGGAAGTGAAGCAAGCTGAGGTGACGAGGATTGTAAAGGAAAAAGTTGTGTTAAACCTCATTCTTGCTCTTGGCGCTAAACTGGGTTGATATGACAGATTACAACATCAGAGTGAATATGATAAAGAAGATTGGGGATTCTTCTCCATATAAATTCTTCGCAAAATTGGCTTCATGCATGAACACATACTTGTTCTTATGAAATCCTGTGAGAAATAGGGATTTTTCCAGCTGTGACAATGTGCCATCTTGGGGACGAGTTTTTAGAATTAATCCTTCCGTATTAATTCACTGAATAACTCCTAAAGAGGAGTGAAGGAAACACATGTATTTCCATGCTTTATTGCTGCAATGAATAATTTGAAAAGGATATCTTGAAGATATCTCAACCGCCATCAACGAATAAAGGAGATGATGGGACAGCTTCAATCGGGTCTAGCCAGTACAGAACCGTCACCTCCGGATATCTCAAGACTGATATAAATGAGAAATACGGCTAAAGACCGCAGACTTCATGTCTTCGACTACCCAAAAGGCAAGCACGTACTAACGCAGCTTTCATTAATATATAACAAGTTATGAAAGGAATTGATTCAGTGTCTTTGGGGAATATCCTTGTCGCATTTTGCCTAAATATGAGGCTTCCGCAAATATTTTTAATACATTGATCAAAGCAGCTGTTAACGTCCCAAGCATCACAAAACTTGGTTCGTTATTGTGGGAGCTTACTCGTAGTTAGCACTCTCCCCGGCGAAGGAAATCTTTGTAGCGCAGGGAGGTTGAAATAAACATTCGCGTCCGCTCGGTGGTGGCTTGGCATCAAGTAAAAATCCAGTTGAAGTGGGTAAATGGAAAGTATATGGAATTCCTTCGAGTCAGTCCTTCATTCCTTAACCGAATAATACACAAAAAGAAAGGAAAACTAAACTGATTAGAAACTGATTAACTAGAACTGGGGAGCTATGTAAACAAGAGTGGCATGATCGAAAATGGAAGCCAACAGTTCATATATCAAACACCAGACCCGTAATGACAACCAAATGGGAAGGAAAAAAAAAAACAGAGATAAAAAGAAAAATGTTCTTCTCAGCAAAAAAGTGATGGTATCATTGGATGGTGAAGCTATGGCTGGCCTCGACAAGGCCATCCGCTGCCTTAGAAATAGCAATCCAGCTAGGTGCATATAGCCGCACTTCATCCAGTGCCGGTATCACACCCGGCTGGTTAGCGTCACTCCACATACAGATGGCCTTTCCGCTCAATACGTTTTGGGGAGCGTCGTGCTTCTCATCATCGTCGTCGTCGTCGTCCGACTCGTCAGCGCTCTCATGCCAGTTTATATCGACGACCCAAGTATTTTCCCACGTTCGACTCCAGAGTCTGATTTCCGCAACTCCTTGGCGGGAAGTGGGGGGCATACGGTGGTCTACTGCAGAACCTGAAACCTGGAAATTCGCGACTGCCCTGTCAAATTTGAGCTTGCAAGCTCGTGTGTTCCGGCCGGAAATTTCGATGCGTGCTTTGTTTTTGCCTACTGTTTTCGTTATGTTGTAGGTTATCCATTTGTCAGGGACGATTTCAGTGTCCCTTTCACGGCCTTGGCCGAGAACGTTTGGAGAGAGCCCGCTCCAGGAACATCTTTCCAATTTACCAAAAGGGGTCGTTTTGTCGCAGGTTATATTTTGGCCTGCTGCACTTGGTATAGAGTTGATTGCATCCGTAAGATATGGTTGAATGCCGGTGAGCGATACCGTATTCGAACCGTTGTCCAGGTCGACTTCCTGGATGAAGAACGTCTTTAAACGGTTGGCAGGCGAGAAGGGAAAGGCCACCAAATTATAAATTAGAGTACCAATAAATACGAGGAACAAGAATGTTGGGATGTGGTATGTGAATCGATGGATCAGGGGGAATAAAGGTATGCATAGAAGAGTTGTAAAAACAGCACATGCCAGGTAGACGACGAAGGTAGAGACTCCGTCCGAACCAACCTGGCACATGGAGGCGGTCAAAAAAAGAGCAAGCTGGCCGACAAGAATGAGGACGATAGGAGCTAGAAGCAAGAGCTGTAACACCCATGTCCACCTGGGCAACGTCCAGCTCCATGACTGTTCATGCTCGAAAGTGCCTCCTTTGTTGATATCTTCTCGCTCATCTGTCTCTTCTGCTGCACCACCAGGGCCACTAGTTCGATAATTTGCAAACGTGGTTCGTTGGCCACGAAGCAGGGAGGTAGATTCTGTGGGGTCGGTATCTTCCCCTGCAGCTCCGGGAAATTCAGCAGTACTGGGACTAGCATTAGATCGTAGCTCGTCCGCGGAAGAAGTCAGCAACCTGCTGCTGAGGCTGCTTGGGCGCCGTCCTGTGGTCTGGCGGGCAAAATCCCCTTTTCTCGGAAGAGCGAAGAGTTCCAGGTAGGAAATCCAAGTCGCGAGAAACGCGCCAGCAAAGTAAAATAATAGAAAATATCCAGCAGCAATGCCCTTTTGGTTTGCGTAAACCGTGTTAATGACAAGCATGATCCACGTTGCGATGAATATCCATGTGTAACTATATGCCCTGTGAAGAGCTGAAGGTCTGAAAAAGTCGGCAGCACATGCTAGAAACCAAGCCAGGAATATCCACGCAGAGAACATCATGCTCCACACTGAAAATTGGCTGGAATGCACGATATATGGATTGACTTTCTCAAGCAAATACGCTAAACATATGGGAATAGTCGTGGCAGTAACCAAGATGATAGGGGTGCGAGAAAAGCCACGAAGACCACGTAAGGAGACCTGGTCGCCGGTTCCTTCCAAAGACTTAGACATCGAAAACAAGTACATCCGGTCTGTTTAGATAAGATGACACTTGTTACGAAGATTACCAACGGGGCAATGACCAGAAGAGCTACTGAAATTGCAAACAGAGTATGGAGGCGAAAAACAGCAAAGGCGGTTCCAAACATATCAAACCAAACACCAAGGGTGCCAGCACCGCTGTTCACTTTGTTTTGGTCCTTTGATTTGCCATCGAAATCCATTCCTGTGTATGAAACGAGACCCTCGGTGGTTCCTATGGAAGCAGAAAGCATGTGCCACAAGGAATCAATACTTGTGTGTCGTGTGTCATCTTGGTCTGTGTGGTATCGGCTTCTGGGGGCTATGAAGGCCAAATCAAGTCCTCGAAGTCCTAGGATACCATTAAACACGACATAGTCAGTCTGACTACGAAGCAGGCCCATTTTAAAGCCATCAGCAGCAAGTACAGAACCAAACGGGTGCTTAGTGTTCCCGTAAAATCGTGTAACCTCTGTGTCTGTGGTTCGAAAAAGAGCAGCTCGGCCGCCAGCCCCTGCACCCTCAAGGTTCAAGAACGTATGCGTAAAGTTTGAAAGTGGATGCTGGCTAAATACGTGGGCTCCGTTCAAGTAATCTTCTTCCCCGTTATTGAAGAGCAAAACGAGACCTTTACGGGGGTTGTTTCCAGGAGTCGTGAAGTATCTGAGGAGCTGCAGCAAACTCACAACGCCTATTCCATCATCAGTGGCGCCATATCCGGTTGAAACGCTGTCGTAATGAGCGTTCACGAGAACACCTCCTTTCCCCTTTGGTTTCCCATTCGAGCGCTCCCACCAGTTCTCCAAGTCATCTTCGCTCCCTCGTATATAAACTATGATATTCGTGCTTTCAAAATATACTCCCACAATTGAGGTCTTACCAACTCCGCCGTTAGAATATGTTAAGTTCGACCGATTATCGTCAAAAACGAAAACTTCCGGCAAGTTATCAGTAGCGGAAGAACGTTGTCCGGCCTCAACCGTAGGGCGAATGATCGAATTGATTCTGCTTAGAAGCCATTCGTGAACTTCGTCATTCCGCCGGCTATTATAAGGATGAAAACCTCCAGTTAAGTGCTGAAGATCTCTCCAAGCTTCTGTAAGATTCACGCCCTTGGGATTCGTTTCTGGAGCGGAAGGAACGACAAGGTTTATGACGAGGATTGGAATAAGTAATGCGAGATACACGATTGTTGTGATACATGTTACCGGCCAGGGTGTGAAGGCAATGGGATTGAACCGCTGAGCCCTGGAGCTGGCCATGATGAGACAGATATGACCTGGGAAACCGGCTCCGTCAAGGCGTGGGTGTCCCCGTCGCGATAGCAGAAGAGAGGGTGAACAAGGCGGATGGAGGCGGCAGTAATTAACTAGCCGCCAAGGCTTTGTTCAGTAGGGGGGCCTATGCTTATACGTGGTACTGGTACCCACACACACACACACACACACACACACACACACACACACACACACACGACTTGGGGCTAGCTGTTACAATTTCTAAGATCCGCTATTGAAGATTGATTGACTAGTAGTACTATATGTCTGGTGAAGGTGTGCGCTGGCTTTTATAGTATGTAAGAAAGGTAATACTAGCTGAGTACTAGAATATGGTAATTCTCGCCTCACAAGGTCGACGTCATCAAATACATTCTAGCTACTTTCATACAAGCTATCATATACATGTAGCTCTAAACTGGTTTTTTTAACTGCTGGCACTTCCGCCAGTAACTCTCAGCACCCTCTCAACCTCCCCTTTACACTCGGGCATCGCGCTCGCCATCTCCCTCGCGAGAATGTCCCGGAAACTGGCAAAGGCCTGCACCTTTCCTTTCAAGTCCTGGTTGCCACGTTGTACAAGTTCGACGAATTCTCGCGTGTAAATGTCCGGGTTGCGTGCTGCGTCGACATAGTCTATGATTTCTGGGGGAAGTTGAACGGATTGGAGGGGCGGGTCAGGATCATTTATGCGTAGGGATGTTTGGGATGGGGAAGCCGAGGGGTCCGGGCGGGAATGCTCTGAGAGGGTTGATAGGGAGAGGGTCAAGGATTTTCTAGTATTGTCACTCGAGTTAATATATCGCAGGTTTTCAAAAGTGGAACGATGATGCAGAGTGTGTAAGGCGTCTTTTCCCTCGTCTTTCTCTCTTCCCGTGGGTTTGATTGTTGCTTTGTTTTATGAACCAACAGGCATGGCGCGTAACCATGGTGGCTCAACCGTGATGCTCAACCATGATGACACTGCTTTTAATTCCCAACAGGTAGACGTGTTTATATGGGATACGGAAACCACAAGTACCAAAGGGGTGCAAAATAGCTCACATTTTTCGCACAAGTTCTTGTTGTGTTTCGGACCCCAGATATCCATGAACAGCGGATTGGATTTCGAATAGATGTTGTATCACATCTTTCAGATCATCTAAACCCCAATAAAAGGCAATTAGCGACATATTCAAGCGAAAAAATACAGCACTTATTTCGTCAAAGGCAGACAAATGGCGGACGGAGAGATATCGCATCTACTGCCAGTACATACTGTCAATCACGCTCAACGTTAGTGGCGCCATTCGCAAGGGACGCCCAGTTGGTTACTTGTACTAGCTTCCACGTTGGCAGGGTAGCTATGGAAGTATATATGTTGGAAATGACCTGGCCTGTAAATTGCCTCAGCGCCAGTTCTTGGGGTAGATTATAACTTCATGCAGTCATTCGTTGATGCGTAGAATGCATAGATATCAAATAATACGAAGGAGAGGTGCTAATACTTACACGGCTAGTGTTGTTTCTGGACCTAAAACGATCAGCAGAAACTTTAAATTATAACCTTGGTAAGTTCCCGTATATCCACCACTAACCTTCATATGTAAGAGTTGTATTTTGCTTCCATCGATTTACCTCACAGGCTGGTGGCTAGTAATCTTTAGTCTTTAATCTTGATTCATTTGCAATCTGATCTGTAAGTAAATAGGCAGGTTGCAATGCTAGTATTTGAGATACAGCTGAGATCATGCAGGCGGGCAGGCAGAGACTTCCATTCTCTTATCCATATCTTTATGTATCATCTTAGAGAAGAGATTTTAGTATAACTCATCCTTAGTCTATTATATATCTCCACATACAAACATCATTAGATTTCTATTGATTGAAGAAGGAAAGTATTGGGGGTATGTTGAATACTGAGAAAGCAACGATGGTAGTAGGAGTATAAAAGGAGAATAGGTGTATGGTACAAAAGGCATCTGTGGGGCAAATATCCCACCCCACCAAATAAAGTTAAGTCATGGAGATTTCGTAATATCATATCAGGGCCTTTGGCACAAAACCACTGGCAACACTGCTAGAAGGATCCTTCGGCGCAAATCGATGCCTGGCGTAAATGATTAGTATTATGTACAGCGTATGAATGTACTGTATAATTGAAACGCAAAGCGGGTGGCTGGATAAGCAAACCATAGAATAAGTTTATAGAAAGAAATGTAGTGTGATAAAAAGTGAGGAAATCAGACAATGAGACAAAAAGTATACAACGTTCATCAGAGGCCTACACGCCTAGAGAAGGAACTGCGCCCGCTGGATAGTTACAATAAACCAACATTCCACCTCCATCATATATAGAAAATTTAGAATGGGAAGTAGATATGGAAATGAAGATGGGGATGGGGAAGGTACCAGATATTAACACATGGGAGGGTTTAGACGTACTATCTATGGCCGGCCTTCGTTCCTCTCATCGTAAAATCACAACAATTAAAAAACACTACTGTAAACGTAACAATAAGGTGGGGTAAGTAAAAGAGTTGGGCGTTGTTGACTGGATTCTTCATTGGTATCTTAACTACTAGAGCTGCGATGACACGAGAATATAGAATATGGAAAGAGAATAGATGGAGTTCTTTAGGGAAGAAATAAAACGAGGAATACAGCTCAATTAAAAATAAAAAGAAAGGAAAATGAAGTGAAAATGAAAATGAAAGGAAAGGAAATTCCATTCCGTACACCTTTTCCTTCATTTACACCTCCTTCGTCCTCATAGCGTGGACACGAGGGGTAGGTATGTCTATCTCCGTCTCCACCAGCTCTAACCCAGATAAGCTTGGGTATCGTTTACTGAAATTCGCTTCCCAATCGTCATTTTGGCTTGTTTTCTTGGCCGTTTCTATGGGGGGGTTGTGTTCCTTAACAACGTTTTCGGTACGGTTACCGGTACGCAGGTTTTGTGGTTTGGGAGGTGCTGGGGGTTTTTGATCCGCAGCGGTGGTGGAGGCGCGTGATACGAATTGCTCAGATGGCGTCGGCTGTTGGGATCGTATGGGCATTGTAAGCGGACCCGCGGAGCGCGGGTCCTTTGGCTGCGGTCGAGGAGCCTGTTCGGTGGCCTGTTGTTGTATCGAGACAGGTTTTCGGGGGACGTTGAATGGTACGGCCCGTGGTGGTATAGAGGGTTGCTCAAACTGCTTCGCCTGCAAAGCAGCTTCTGTATCAGTGTATCGTCCATAGCCAGAAGCGGTCTTGACCGTTGGGTGTCTATCGTTTTCTTTGAGGAGTGACTGGACCTTGCTTTGAATCGATGCCGCTCTTACTCCTTCAATCCTTCCTCCACCACGGGCCCCATCTTCTCCACGTTCCGCTAACCGCTGGCGATACTCAGCAGCAGCATTTGCCACTCGCCTCTCTTCCAGTGATAAACGTCGTCGCTCTAACTCACGGCGCATCTCTGGTGAGATATCGCCATCATTGACTTCACAGCCATCATCGCTCATCTCAGTAACTTCTGAACCTGTTATTGGAGTGAGGCGTGCATTCACATTGTCAGGGGAAGGACTTCGGCTTGTCCGTTCCTGTGCTGCATTATTCTCAAAACGACGGAACGCATCGCCAAACCGCCCGGCGAGTAGATTCTTAGTCCCAGATAGAGATATAGACGTCAAACTCGAACGTTTCATATGTTTTGACCCGCTACTGACACGTTTCTCCCGTTTTCGGTTTGATTCCTCTACTTCTTTGGCTCGTAAGAAATCAATGTCTGACGATATATTGGCTCGCTCATGGTCACGATCGGTTTCCAACCGTGGGTGATGTAAGACGTCACTCCCATCGTATCCACCGCGAGGGAAGCTAGAATCGAGGGAGTCTCTCGAACTATCAAAATCCCGAAAACGCTCCGATCTAGATCCAATGAAAGAACTGGCAGGTCGGGACTTCGAGTTTGCCGATTTAGAACGAGCGGTTGGATCACTTGTATCAAGAGCGGATGGTCGGGATCCCTCTAATGATGGTCTAGACGAGACCGGTGACCTCGGTAGATCTTCGAACGAAGCGTTCTGTTTCGATTCACGCTTGAAGAATGCCCCACGAGATATATAAACGTCACGACCGCTGGGGGTTTTTTCATTCTCGCTCTCGAATTGTTGGGCGGAATGTCGCTTTTCAAGGGAATTAGGAAGCCTGGATTTGGATCGTTGAGAAAAAGGCGGGCTATCTAATGGACGCAGGCGGGGGGAAGGAGTTGTCATGGTGCCAGTGGACACCATGACTGGCTTTTGAGGAATAGGTTGATGTAGGGTAGTAGTTTGTTGTCGTGTAAGCTCAGCGCGTAAATCCGGAGATGGTATCAAAATCTTCTCTTCTAATGGTTTATTTTCGCCGAGAGGTTTGGACTGTGATCCTATTGCCGGGTTTTTCTGGGAAACAGGAGTTGGATTGGCTTTGGCAAAGGCCTCATCCGCGAGAGCATTGGTTATTCGTTTTGAAAGGTCTTCCGTGGGTGGCTTGGCTTCTGGCACCGTCGGCTCAAACTCAAATTTGGACCCTTGGTCATGGAAGAGAGAAAATTCGTCCAAGGTTGGAAACCTGGAGGAGAGCTCGTCTCCGTTAGGCACTTTGCCTCCATCAAGGGCAGCAAATGGGTCACTTGAAGCGACTCTTAATGGCGACGGACTGGGTTTGGTTGAGTTGTGATGTGAGGTAGGTTTGGTCGGTCTCCCTCGCCTCATAGGAGCTATGTCAGGAATAATCTGCGTCTCCTGAATGGGCGGGGAGAATACGGCCCCTATCTTTGGTGTTTCGTTGGGAGATGGTGGAAGTTTTTGGTAGCGTCTTGACTCAGAATGTGAACGCCCGGAGTAAATCTGGATCGAGTTAGAACGCCGTAGTCACATTGGCGGGATTTAAACAGAAGTCAATTCAATATATATCACGTACGTCTGTAATGGGTACCTCTTTGCCGCGCATACGACACGCTTCCTGCAATACTTGATATATATTCGGTCGTTTTCGCGGGTCCTCTCGCAGCATAGACGCTATTTCAAAAAATGGTAGTCGTCGTTAGAATAACAGCGTTCAAAAAAAAAGAGTAATACAAGTTTCCATTGTATTAGATATATCATACCAATGAGCAATTTTAATCTATCAGAGAAAGGCGGGTACGCAGGGTACTTAAATTTGGCATTCAGGATTGCCATCTGCCCAGCTTCCTCGAAGGGAGTAGTGTAATAACAGAGCTTGTACAGAAGGACGCCCAGCGCCCATATATCGCTCTTCTCATCGATTGGCTGTTTGCGATAAACATCGATCATTTCCGGACTGCGATATTGTAGAGTGGTGTGGCGCTGGACATCATCCTCGATCAGCCTTCCCTCCGCAGCAGTAGCAGCAGCTGGGCGTGGCGGCGCTGCAGACCCAAAGTCACATAATTTGTAGCTAAACGAATTCCCATGTAGCGCTATCAAGACGTTTTCGACCTTGAGATCCCGATGGAGCAAAGGGGGTTTGAGGTAGTGCATACAGGCTGTGCCCTCGGCAACATCGGTGAAAATCTTCAAGATCTCAGGCTCCGTCAAGCGATTCTGCAAACGAGTGTTCATAAAGTCGATCAAGCCGCCTCCAGCGCAGAACTCCATGAGAAGGAAAACCTCATACCCGCCGCCCTTTAACTGGGATGCGTGGGAGTCAAAGTATGTGACAATATGCCGATGTCCCTTCAACTTCTTCATGGTTTCGACTTCGGTCCGCATATTTGCCAAAGCGAACTTGTCTGGCACGGCAACTCTTTTTAGCACAGCGGTCTCAGCGCCATCGATCGGATGCGGAAGGCGGACAACGTAGACGTGAGCGAATCCCCCTTCAGAAAGGTATTTTTCGATCACAACACGGTGGTTTCCGACTTGAACCTTCGTCCCTGGGGCGAAGGTCCCAGCTGGCGGTACAGCAAGTGCCATGGTAAATGGTCAATTGGCTTATCCAGAGCCACAATGAAACGGGGGTTTAGGGAAGAAGGGTTCCAGATCGTAGGATTGGACAATAGGGAAGGTCCACAAAAACCGGGCGGTGGAGTGGAGGGTTAAGGTACGAGTGAGGAAGCCCCCATGAAAGGACAGCGAGGGCCAAAAGCAGCGCAAAGAATAGGAGAACTACATTAAAAACGAAATAATCAAAAGGAGCAGAGGGCACAAAGGAAGATGAGTCCCGGAGCTCCCTGGGACAACAGTGGGTGACTTGAGAAAATGATGCAGCTCATGATCTCAAACCAACCGGTGATCGATGGTGGTCATCATCAATGCTCAACAGTTCAGCCAATCAGAGAAAGGTGACCCCACGGCGGAATATTTCGCCGGGCCCCGAGGCCAACAAACCCAAATGGACTAAAAATAACCAGGCTTGCAGCTGTCAGAGACAGCGGATTTCGGATGGTTTGATAACTCTACTGACAGACAGAATTGGAGCACATGGTCCAGATACGAGAGTGAGGTTGTTGCCTGATGCTGGCACACTGGCAGTGACACTGGCACCAACAGGGGACTTGACGGAGCACCACGACCTGGAGGTGATTCTGCTGCGTCATGAATTCTACTGCCTAAGCGACATGGCCCTAATTTGATATTCCACAGCCTCCAACGGGGATTTGGTCGTATGCGGAAATCACAGACTAGTGTCAAATGAAGCTAAGGATGCTAGATTGACGACCTACCTTCCTCAAAAAAGTAGGAGCGCCTAATATAGTATCGTTGGGGACCGCTGTCAAGTTGAGCCACTTCCCGGTATAATATGGATGCCCCTGCGGCGAATACGATTCATTCCGGTTCATTTGTTATCAGATATAAAAGTTGTGAAATCCTGAAGTGGCCAGGTGCAAAAACACATTCAAAATCCTTTAACGGGTTTGTTATAACATCATGCCAGAGCAGCGTAGTATCCCCCAAAAAACATCCCAGTGACATACTCACATACTCCCAAGATGCCCGAAAAAAAAAAAAAAAAAAAAAAAAAAGAGAGAGAGAGGGATATCAGATACCATATTGAAAAGTAAGCATCTCATCTCCCCGTCGAACACGGGCGTCATCTTCATCCATTCCCAACACCCTTCTTCCAATCCAGTACCTCACGTGCGAATCCCACCATGTCCCTCCTACAACAGCAAAGGCGGGAATTTTCTCAGCCCCACCTACACCAAAGCTGCGGCCAGAGCCTGAATAATCGATCTCTATATCTAAGGATGTAGCTGGCGGCGTCGCTGCGGCCCTAGCATTATTGATCGCACGGATCACGATCCAGAGCACCACATATCCAATGAAACTGACCAGCACCAAGCCCAATGTAATGAGGAAGGGAATGTGATAGGAATCTTTCTGGAAGTTCGGAGAGAGTATAATAGATGCCAAGACTCCCGCCAGGTTCCCATATCCATTTATCCCCAGAATAATGGTTCGTTTTCCAGGGTTCGGGATATTGCTTGCCAGCCATGTTACAGTTAGTGGGCTTGGGATGTAACTTCCGCTCAGTAGAATGCAGAGGGAAAAATATATAGCCACAGCCCTTGTTGGGGAAAGTGATGTAGAGGAAGAGGGTGATGATGAAAAAACGACGGTAAGAACAAGGCCGAGAGCTATCACCACGAGGCTTGCTAATATTGGAACGATGCGTTTCCGAGACTTATCACTCCAATGGCCGAATATATAGAGGAATACAGACGCTAGGAGGAATGGAGGAGCAGTAAGAAGGTTGCTGATGGTGGGGGATGAAAGATGAAGGGAAGATAGAACCAGTGGAAGGAAAACGGAGAAGCCAGTGTTAGGGACGGCAGAAGCAATGTTGAGGAGGAGAATAGGAAGCATTAGCGGCAGAAAGAGAGCTGTGGACAGTAATTCCGATTTGGATAGACCCGCATCTGACGAAAAGTTCTGGGGATGTTTTTTAGTGCCAATATCATCCGGCAAGAGCCGACGCCGTTGTTCATCATCGGCGCGAGTCAGGGTTTCTTCTTCCGCAAATTCATCTGATAATGTTGTGGAATTGAAGGCTTCTTGTCTCTGACAATCAGCCTGGGCTCGATCAATAAGGATACGCCTTTCTGCGTACGCTTGCTCTTCTTCGCTCAAAAACCATGCCGTCCCCGCACTTCGTGGTAGCCAGAAAAATCCCATTATTGCAATTACGATAGTTAAACACCCTTCAACCAAGAAGAGAATTTGCCATGGCCGTAATGTTCTTTGGTCGGATGGAGTGATCCTTTCGTCGATGGGGTCCTCACTTGGAGGGAAATGAGAGAAAACAAAAAATGCAATTACTCCTCCAAGCGCACCTGCTACTCCGTACGACCCATAGAAGAGCCCAAGTCGACGCCCAAACTCAAAACGGGTATAAAATAGCGAAAGGTACGATACCGCAGTTGGGTAGAAGCCAGCTAAAAGTAGCATCGAAAATCAACAATTTTGTAAAAATAAAGTCAACGGATTTAAAGAGATCTCGGGGCCCTCACCCTCCAAAACTCCAAGTATAACCCTCAACATAATAAGCTGCCATCTGCGCCGGACCCATATATGCAACAAGGTGCAAACTCCCCAAAGTGTCATAACACTCGGCACCCATCTGCTCATTCCGAATTTTCTCCCTGCCGCAGCCCCAACCGGCTGTAAAGCAACAAAGAAGACAAAAAACCATGCAACCGCCGCATTCAGATCTTCAGGCTGCAGACCAGCATCACGAGTAAAATGCGCAGTTTCGGCATTCCCGATGTTGGAGCGGTCGAGGGAGTTTACAAGGAATAGGAGAGATAGGAACGGGAGGAGGACGAAATCTAGCTTGCGGACAGTGCTTGTACGGACTGATGGGTCTGGATCTGGGTCTGGGTCTGGGTCCGGCCCGGCTGTCAGTGCCATTGTTGTGCGGAAAGTGTTGTGGTAGCGTTGACTAGTCGTTATTCGAGGGTATCTCTCAGAAGGCAGTTCAGCAACATGGTAGTTGGAGAGTTGAGTAAAACCGATGGTGATCAACGGATGACCACTTGGTTCCAACCGCTTCCGCTAGGTCCTCAATAGTTGTGACCTCGAAATTGGGCCAGGTAGATTTGCGGAGAAGTGATTGGCTCTGAGCTCCTCTTGAATTTAGGGTCAGAAGACAAATCACGTGGACCAACTCTTTCAGTGGCTGCATCCTTTTGATCAGGTGTTTCTGAGCAAAAAATAAGGCGCAGGTAACTGAATACAGATACCGCTAGAATATGACATGGTACGAACTATGGAATGGCCATCCATAGTTAGGGTTCTCAATGCCTTATCCAATGTGAAACCAGTTGAACGGGGTTAACACTAATCTGTCAACTTTTGCAGACCAAGAAGCTCCGCCAACCAAGCGTGAACACTGGAATCTGGAAAAACTGGTGGACCACCAGGAGAACCACCAGGAGATTTCACTCCTGGGAAGGCTGGCGGGCTGCGCGTGAAGCTCTTGCACTTCACTTGCCTCTCGCCGAAATATCCAGCTCATGCAGGATGACGTGACCCCCTGCCATGGTCCAATGAGAAGGGGAAAACGCACTCGGTAGGATCGACAGAATTGATGATGCCATCACTCCGCCTTGACGACTCGTGAACTTGATGAGAATTGCAACAAGAAGCAACGACTGCATACAGTCAGTCGACAAGTTGACGACGAGCATGCATCGGTCCCTTTTCCCCACGCTAACATGAAAGCGCGATGTGTTTGACGTGTTTGGCAATCTTGGCCGTCTTGGCGTTTCTGCAAATATAGCCAATCAGCATCAAGGATCCGGGTCACGAGAAAATGCCAAGTCACACTTGGCCGTAACAAGAAAAACATAAACAACCGAAAAAAAAATAAATCAACAACTGCCTTGTCATCAGCCAAAAGCTGACCCTTTGAGAGATTGTTGAGGATTCTCTTTGCTTGGAAGAAACATGATTTGTAAGGGTGAATAAAGGCAAAAGCAATGCATTGCCCGTACTATCCATGAGGATTGAGGAACATCTTGGGCGCACATCCATCCGCGAGGCGGACAAGAAATCATCGTACAAGTCCAATAAAAACACACTGCAAGCTCCATTTACAGAAGAGCTGACCAATCGGTGTGGAGAAAAGCTCTGCTCTCGAGTCTTGGTCTCCTGTTCACCGACAAATCGAAGGAAAAGCCAATGCGCCATGACTCGACACCTCGCGTAATGATTGGGCGCATGTAACAACGTGCGGGGAGGACGGAGGCTTCTGGAGAGAAAAGCGTAAACAAATAAATCATCGAGTTTCTGCCTGAATGGATGAATGGACATTCATGTGTTCTGGTGAAGCGCCAGTACAGAAATAATTCAGGCGTGCAACCAGGGGCCACGAATAAGAAGTGCATTCTGAAGAGGAAATTGAAGAAAACATCCAGATTTTGCCCTGAGCAAAGGGACGCCAAACTCTGTCCATAAAGTTATTTTGCTTTTTTCCAAGACTCGAGTGTTCGGCTGCCCAAGCGCCAGCAAGTTTCCCCGGTGACCTTGCAAGGGTCCCGCGGAAAGACGACGGCTCCATCCGCCATGCTAAATCGGACCTTGGAAACCTTCGGACAGTCAGAGTTTGGAAAGGACTCGAACAATTGTTAAGAAACCCTCCCATTAGTTATCTATTCATATGTCAGAATAACTCCGTCGACGTTTTTTCGTGACTTCTTTCATCGTCCCGAGTAAGTCAGTTATCGATTGTTCTGCCTTTCTGTCATACCTCGACAGGGCCTTCTGCCTGAATCCTGGTGCCGACCCGTCTGGATTGCTTCGAGACGTGGTCTGTTCTGAAATCTGACAATAATATAGGTTGGTGAACTTTTACATTTTGTTTTTGGTTTTCATTGCCGTCATATTCCGTGTCTCTCTCTCTATTTTTCTTTCCCCTCTCTCGCGCCCTGTTTGATAGCGTATGTTGGGTTTGGTGAATGCTTGAGGGTCTTCGGGTGACGCTCATAATTTTGATTGCGGGTTACTGACTCAAGACTGAAGAGCAACCCGTCCCGATTTTCAGTCCTCATACCAAAACAACGTCAACTCGGACTCCATAACTCTCCTTACTTAAAAATCACCGTCCTCCCACCGCTTAACACAGCCAATTAGAATAGTTGGGATCTTTCTACGATCTTCCAGGAAGAACCACCCCCATCGAGAGGCACAACATCGGGATTGGGATTGGGGCCCAAGTGCCACCCCACCCCATTGTGTGGCTGATCATGAAGACATTCTTCATTGCCTTTAGATATCGACTGGTACGGATCCTTCTACGACAATAGGAAGGATTGGTGGTGGCATAATAGCCAGGAAACAGAAAGCCTCAGTTATCGTCGAACCTTCAAATACGCATATCCATACACACACAATATTTTACGACATTTGCATGCATTTCGCCACTTGAATTTACTGTTTTCTCTCTAATAATGGACGGGGCCCCCCCCCCTCCTCCACCTCACGGTACTCCTCCAGGAGGTAGACCACCCCCCAATGCAAACGGCGGGTATCGCAAATCGACAGACCTTCCAGAAGGACCCTATGATATTTTCATCGTTCCGCCTCATTCGTCAGGTTCTGGTTTCATATACCTACCTTCCCTTCAATGTCATAGGAACAGCTTTCTGGCGGGAGTGGCGGCTACTCTGGTTGGAGTAGGAGCATACGTATGGGTGGTGCCAATTCTGAAAACGTGGGTTTCATCAGTTGCTCAAAGTGGTGGTTCGGGTGTCTTTTTGGTTGTTATAGTGGTTGGAGTTGCTAGCTGGGCTTGGGGAAGGTCACAAACAGGTTCCAGCAGCACGCCGCCCCCGCCTCCGCCGCGTGGTGCTCCTCGACCGCCGCCCACTGGTGGAGGAACGGGTCACGGAGGCCCGCAGCACGAACCGCCTCCCTCATCAGGCCCCAATCATAACTCCGGGGAAGGCCCTCACTATCAAAATTTCAATGGGCAGTACTCAGGAGGTTATGGAAATGGTCCGAGCCCAGGTGGACAATACAATGGCGGCCCATTCCCTGGTAGCCAGTATCCTGGAGGCCATCGTTATACACAAGGAGAAGGAACCTCTGGGGATGGCGGGTCGGCCCCGCCGCCTCAATCTCCTCCAGACCCACCACCAACTACGCCACCCAAGCCATCTGAAAATGACACTCCCAAGCCGAAAGACACAGACTGGGAAAAGGCGAGGGAGGAAACAAAACGAAAAGAAGACATAAGAAGGAAGATGGAGGAGTTCCGGAAGAAGAGAGAGGAGGAAGAAAAGGAAAAACAAAGACAACGGGAGAAGGAGGCGCGAGAACGAGAATTCCGTGAGAGGAAGGAAAAGAGAGAAAAGGAGCGACTTGCTAAAGAGGCCGAGGAAAAGGAGGCTGCAGACAAAGCCGCTAAAGAGAAAGCTAGGGCGGAAGCTGCTGCTCGGTTCGCCGCTGCTCGTGAAGCCGTGGCCGCAAAGAGAGCTGCAGACAAGGCAGCTGCGGAAAAACTTGCAGCGGAGAAGCTCGCAGAAGCGAAATTAATGGCGGAGAAGTCGGCAGCAGAAAAATTAGCGGCGGAAAAACTGGCCGCAGAGAAACGTGCAGAGTCGGTTAAGCAAGCGCCATCTGTCAACAACCCCCCAAGAACGCCTTCCCCGCAGAAAAAACCTCCTTTTCCATCTGCGAAAACAGAACTTGAGGATGATGCGTATTCATTTCGTCCCTATGATCGACCCAGGAAACAGCCGTCTGCACCCTCCGTATTCTCTGAATCATCGTATGCACCGTCCCAATCGACTGCACGAACAACTCCACCACCCTCTCGACGCGGACCGTATTCCACAAAGGATCCCGATAAGATCATTATATATGGCGTGTATGTATTCAACAACACTTTTATGAGGACACCCGTTGCACAGCTGGTGTCGGGGAAGGGGCATGTAACCGATGGTTTGATACTACGCATCACTACGGAAGGAATGTTTGTAGATGATGACATTAGAGGTGTAGCCCAACGCGAATGGGACGTCAAAGCATGGACAATGAAGCTTGTTGAGGTATGGTGCCCCCAGCTCGGTGCGAACCCTTCTTCCATCCGCCCAAGCCAGGTGAAGACCAATCCTTTCCGGCTCAGCACGTCATATGCGCACAAGGTTCCCAGCAGTGAGGAATCTGATGCGTATTTGGCAAACCTGCACAGGTTCTGCAAAAATCAGTGCCGGCTAGGAGCTGCGTCTTCCGGACTAGGGTCTCGCAGTGGCAATAGTAATGGCAGTATCATTGATAATGGAGACATTCTGCAGAGCGCGGAGTTGCGTGGCTTCCACGTCGTTCGTGCAAGCATCAGAGACCAGGAAGGCAAGAAATATGTCTTTGTCTTGCAAGAGGCCGAGGCTTGGAAAGTAGCCGTCGGGCTGCAGCGGTTGAAGAAAGGGAGTCAAGTTAGGGCACTGGGTGTGTGCGGCTTGCCTGCCAACGAAACCAACGCTGTTCTTGAGAGCCTGGGGTATGTCGCAAGTTGATGGAGATGGAGATTGAATTGTTCTCCAGGTAAGGGATAAGGTATGAAAGAACACCATGAAGACTTTAGCCATCGGAACAAGCGGTGCTGACCATCATCGGTTGAGTACTAGTAGACGGTAGCTTGTTCGATTCTTGTTTCTAATTCCTGTGTATTTTCAATCATTTTTCTTTCTTGTTTCAGCCCTCCGTCAAGGATATCCGAAATACGCATCTTTCCAGGTCATTTTTAGCGATGGAGTTTAGATAGAGGCATATATCATTCATTCGCTCAGTCATCTCTTTGCTTTCTGGCGGGAATTTCCTTTGGAGGTTCCCGTGCTGCTGCGACAGCTCTTCCCATGTTGTGCGAGTTGGCTTGACGGTCACCTTTTCGTTCTCCGTTTTGTCTTTGTCTTTGAGAATACCCCTTTTTTTTTCACGTACATTTACGGCTGCAGGTTATGCGTGCACGCATGTGCTAACTGTTGGCCAATTTGGTCTGGATATTCTGGTGTGTAATAGTTTTTGGACATCTTCTTAATACCATCTATGTTATATATATATAATTTTTGGCCGCTGATGGCTCATCTTGCCATCTGCCTGGAAAGCATAAGTTGGCTGCTCCCGCTGGGTTATATAGCAACCATCTATGTCCAATTATTCCACCATCACGAAACCGCTGTGGATGATTCGATCCTGCTGCGTAACCCTGCGAATGTATTAATTATTTCGATGAATGATAGCCAAGTCGGCACTCTCATTCGGCTAGCGGCGCCAGGACGCAAAGCCCGGGTTTTTCTGCAGCATTTCAGCCACAAAAACCCAAAAATGAACACAAACCAGCTCATCTTCGAAGACTGTGATCGAGTACGATTGGAACTTAGCATCCAACCGCTGAACACATGAATCGATACACAGCTTCTGGCAATTAACCTGCTGCAGTCTCTCTTCGCAGACCCGAGCTTTTCAAAAGAAGAATCAAACCCTGCTCAGCGAGACATGCCCGCTCTAAGACTAAGAAAAGAGCATTGGGTCATGACGCGGAGAGGTCCATCCGAGCAGAACGTGGCTGCCTGGATCAACCATGTCTATCCACGCACTCAAGTTCATCGTGTCTGCTATTTAGGGTTTACGAAGCTCAACCTTGAGGGCATTTGTCTCGAGGAGGGGAGCTGGTCGCGGGAGAGGGTCCGTCCCCCGTGTTGGATGTCCCGGATGCTGTGATGTTTTGATCTGGTCTGCGGAACTGATTTTTGAGACTTCTTTCTGATTTGCCCCACACTGCCAGGATCAGTCTTCACAAGAACTGATGTACGACATGATTTGCGGTCTCTAACTGGGCTGAAGTTTGGGAATACTTGTTTTTCCTTTTTGCTGCCCTTGTGCTTTTGAACTGCTTGTGCTGTGTTTTGTACTTGCTTCGCTTGCAAGCAATTGGACAGTGGACACGGCAATGGCGTGTGCGATATCTGCTGAACAACCTGCTGCAGCTGCCGCTTGGGCGGAGCATTGCCATTCCCGGCCTCTTGCTCTTTTCTTTTTAAAACGGGCAAAGCCCCCTGTCCTTTACTGACTGAATTATTTGTCTTATCTGACCGGTTGCAGACTTGGCTTAGCTGCTTATTTCAGATAGGCCCTTATATACGGCGCTCCTTCGCCCTGTCCAGAGGTTGTACCGGAAGCTTGTCCCTCCTTCTTCCCATCCCTCTCTCCTGGTGGAAACAAGACGTGTTTTCTATCAGTCTATTCAGCACTACAGCATTTTCAACATCTATCCCCTCCAAATAAGGTCCGGGCAGGGGAATTTCAAACATGACGAGCACTTACTCAGACCAACCAAGGTATCGGGACGACCCTTCGGCAAACGAGAAGGATATCTTAGTTGCTGAATATAATATTGCCGCTTTGGAAGATGCACAAGCATCTCCCGCCCACAAAAGGCGCTGTGGTTTCATGAAAGGAGGATGGGCCGGCTTTAGAGACAGCTCTCGGTCTATCTGGACTAGAATCTCGCTTGCACTCTTCAAAGTTGTCTTGTTTGCTGGGCTGGTTGGCTTCTTCTACAAGGGCACTTTTCACGGATTTAAGAAGGTATGTGAGGAATGTTTCATTAATCGTCACTTCAATATTTAGTCATTCTCCTCCTTTCTTTTGTCAAAGTCCCCATCATTATTGCGCTACTTTCTACCCTCAATGTTTCTGTCGTACCTAGTGGGTATTAACAGATATCTCTAGCAGTGTGCACACTCCAAGCAGAACAACAACCAGGTATCTGTAAATAGCTGGCATGACCATGGACCTTCTGAGAAACGGGACATCTCTGTCAATACAACTACCAACTCCATTGTCGGCAAATTTCCGCTCTATGACAGCCTCAACTTAACCACCGTCACTGGTAGCATTGCTGTCGTCATCGACCCTCAGCCTGCACACCCAGAACAACCAGAAAAGCCAGCACGTGTGTCCATCAAGACCGAGTCAGGAAGCATTTCTGTTGCATTCAGGTTGCCTGGTGTACAACCTGCCCTTAACGATGCTGCCAGCTTCACACAACTCCAAAGCCTTTATTACTCGGACAAACCAAGTGTACGCAGCAACGACAATAAAAACAACAACCTGCACGCATTCCTCACCCCTCGTTCCTACGAAGTAGAAATCCATACTTCCTCTGGTAGCATCTCGGGCCAAATCGCTTTCTCAAATCTACTCAAGCTCTCCACTGTCTCCGGCTCCATCAGCGCTAACCTCATTCCCCTTGTCTTCCTGCCCGATGAAGACGAAGAGCCCCCTCGCGATCCCCGTGATCCCTGGAACCCTCCGGGCGATGGCCGTGACGATGTGGTTCCCGCACATCGCGCCAACATTTCCATCATAACCTCCACTGAGACAGGAAGCACTCACCTCTCGCTTTCCGAGCCCTTCTTCCCCACACCTCCAGAACAGTCTACCAAGAAAGCAGGCCAGCCGCAAAAGGGCAAGCATATCCCCAGATCCATCACCGCACACCACATCGCGCGGGGCTCCGGCTCTTTGGCCGTTGTTTACCCACCATCCTGGTCTGGGCGCGTCCATGGAGCTAGTTCCGGAAAGGGTCATGTCCATCTTGGCGGTGAGGGCTTGCTGGTTCGCTCTGGCAATCAGACGGTCGCTGACGGTGTGAGATATCCGGAACCCGAGGACGAGTGGGACGCTCCGTGGTGGGGCGCGTCTGGCATTATGAACGTTACCATCACAAGTAACGGCGGTACAGTGGACTTTTTCGCTCGGGGGGATAGGCGGGGTGAATGAGTGAACTTGAGAAAGTATTGGGTTGGAAGGGCGGGGAGATTCTGAAAGGATTGACTGAACATGGAGAGCTAATCTGCCCACGCCGGTGGGATGTGATGGGATAAAGTAATCTAGTGAGAATAGTATATGCACCACTGTTGGCAGCTAAGATCAAGCCGATCACATTTTTCTTTCCATTTCAGTTTGGATTTACTCTATGTGTTCAAATATTCATTCAGTCTTTTCGATTTTGGATATCGTCAGATTTTCCTCTCATTTTCCTCGTTTCCCTTCGACTTCCAAACTTTTTGTGGTGGAATAATTAGGTGTGTGATGGTGATGAAAAAGCCGAAGTCACTTAGGATAGATAAATAAAAGTCTCCCCCCGAAAATGGGAAATAGCATGTGGTTGGTCTCCCTTCAGACAGAAGAAACATTCAATCGAGTACGGTGGTTTGGCTTCATTGTTTGAGCGAGGTGTTTTTGAATTCCCTCATGATCGTTTCCTCCTCGTTTTTGATTCATGCTGATCTGAAACCATGCAATGCAAAATCATGACAAGCAACCCGCCAAAAGAAAAGCAATAGGATCGATAGCTGTGTTTAAACAACCTGAAGACAAAAATAAACAGAAATACAATGAAATCAACTTTCCACCTCCTCCACCACAAAAAGAATAACAGCAAGATCCAGCATGAAAAGAAGAAAAAGGGAGTGGGGAATCAAGCTGAACCAAAAATAAATAAATCATAAAATCATAAAATAAAACAATCATCATATGAACACGGAAAGTGAGAAAACAACCGCCTACTTCTCAAAGCGAATAGGATTCACACGAAACGAAAAAAAAAAGAAAAAGTAAATCGGCTTTACGACCGCCGCAGGTGAGTAAAATAATATTAATAATAATAATCCCTACGAAGCATATTAAGGAAAAGGGGAAAAAATGGAAGATGGCAAAGTAAAGTAAAGCCGCTGTTCGCATGATTTTGTATCGTTTATATTCAGCGGAGTATAGATGTTTGTTTTCTTCAAAGTTGTGTGTGGCCGCTGTTCATCATCTATATCTACTCCACAAGGTCAGAGACCGTAACACTAGCCATTCCATATCCAACTATGTAAGATGATCCATGGATGATGATGATGATGATGATGATGGTGATGATGATGATGATGAAAATTGAAACCCAAAATGAAAAAAATGAAAAAAAGACATTGGAATATGAAAATAGGGCAAAAAGTGCAGTAGTAGGTGACCTGGAGAATAAACAATAATGTTAAAAAAGATAATAATGAATTTGGTAGACATCAATTCAAAAAAGAGAGGGAAAGAGAGGCGAAAAACAGGAGAGTAGGGAAACCCAAAAAAAATAAAAATAAAAATAAAAAAAGTAACAAAGTGGGAATCGTAAATATGTATGACTGAATAAAGATTGTTTACCTTCTCTCTCCCTCTCATCTGCGCGCCTGTTTTCCTTAAATGTGATGTTTTGCCATGTATGAGTTCTATATGCGAGTGTCGTTGCATTTATATCCGGTTTGGTTTTGCTTCCCCCCTATTATAAGGACTGAGGTGTGGTAAGGTATGAGGTTTTGGTTTTGCGGGGTGGGTTTTTCTATTTTTTTTTTTTTTCTTAGACTAACTTTCTTCATTATTTCTTCATGTTAATAATACCCGACGAACGACGACGGAGCTCATATCATTTACCATCCGTGTTGGTGGTAGGAGCTCTCGAATGGATTTTGGCCGCCACCCCGCGCAAAACCGCCCCCGTTCATCATATTAAATAGGATGTTGGGGTCGATATGGATATTCTGCCCGCCGCCCATACCTCCCATTCCACCCATGCCTCCCATACCTCCCATACCGCCCATGCCACCCATGTGCGCGAAGGAGGCACCGCCACCACGCGCGAATATGTCCGTAGGGTCTAAGAGGTCATCACCATTGTCATAGCTGGCACGTTTCCTGTGGGGTGAAAAAAGGAATGATTAGTTTATGAGGATGGGGATGGGGCCCCCGGGTGTCGTGGGCCCGACGAGGGTGAAGAAAAAGAAATGAAAAATGAAAAGAAAAACAGGTGTTTTGTGGGGGGAACTTGGGGGTTTCATACTGAGGATCACTCAAAATTTCATACGCCTCTCCAATCTCCTTAAACTGTGTATCTCCCTTATCGCCATCAAGGTTCTTATCCGGATGATGTTGAATCGCCATCTTCCTATACGCTTTCTTAATCTCCTGCTCCGTCGCGTTCTTATCGACGCCAAGAATCTTATAGTAATCTTTCCGCTGGCTCTTCTTAAGCTCAAACTCTGCATTTCGAACTTCTTCCTGAATACCCTTTTCGTTGGGATTAGCCTCCGCAATCTTTTTGAATTCACGCGATGCTTCCTCCCAGTTGCCCGCGGCTCCGTACGCCTTTGCCCGCACCCGTTGCGCCTTTACGTATGCAGGATCAAGTTTGAGCGCACTTGTGCAGTCTTCAATTGCTTTGTCGTAGATGCTAAGGTTAAGATAGGCCTGGGCACGGTTCTGGAGCAGTTTGGAGTTGATATCCTTATTTTTGGGGTCAACTTCCAGGGCCTTAGTGTACAGATCGATAGCTTCTTGGTATTTTCTCGACTTGAAAGCTGCGTTTCCTTCATCTTTCATTCGGAGGAGTTTCTGCACCATGCGGAGATATCGGATCGCCTGTGTGGAGTCCGGATCTAGGCTCAGAGCGAGTTTAAAGTGTTTGATTGCCTGCTCGTTCTCTCCTTGGGCGTAAAATAGTCGGCCTCGGAGTAATAACGCATCCGGATCCTGATTGTTATCTCGTAACATGGACATGACGATATTTTGAGCATCACCCAATGAATTAACATTTCCCATCTTTAGATACGCTTCCACTCGCATCAGTCTCCATTTGCGCGGTTGAGTCACGCCAAATCCTAGCCCCTTTACGGCCTGATCCAGGCAATATAACGTCATAGAGCCTCCTCTATCATCCCGTAGAGAACCTTCTGCCTGGGTGACATGATGTAACATTGTCTCCGCAGGGCCTTTATCCTTCGCGGTAACTGGTGGTTGGATCTGTGAATAGATGGATAATGCCTCTGTGGGACGACCAAGACTAGTGTAAATTCTTGCTAATCTGTGCATGATTTTCTGGTTGCCAGGTTCCAACTCATCAGCCAGTTTAGCATCTTCCAGGGCTTCATGGTAGAGATGTGCGGATATGTAGGCAGCCGCTCGGTTTGAAAGATACGTTGATGACGACGGTTGGGCCTCGACCGCTAGATTCAAAAAAATAGACATTAACACATAAACATACCCGCAGCCGCTCCCTATGGTTCACCGTATCACCACTCTCAAATTGCTTCTATGCTGAACACCTCTTAGAGACCCTTTTATAATTCCCCCATTTCGCTCAAGCCAAGGCATTTTTCATCTCACCCACAGCACCATTAAAAAAGCAAAAAAAATAAAATAAATAAACAGCAAGAAATAAGCTTACCCTTCGTATACTCCTGGATGGCTTTCTGATAATCACCAGCCTTGAAAAACTTATTCCCGGCTAACTTGCACGCCTCCGCATCAACAGCGGGGGGTGCAGGTTGTGGCGCACTTGACGTGACATTATGCGGGGGAGGGGTGGGGCTTCGCTCCGCCGTATCGGAATGGACACCATTTGACTGCATGCCCGCAGATGAGGCAGGGGAGTCCTGCCGAGTGGGGGTAGAGAAGGCGGAAGGGGAGGGGGCGGCGTTGGTCGCAGCAGGGGAGGTCACCGCATCCGGTTGCTCAACATCCATGGAGCTGCGACTATCGTCTCTCCCAGCTGCCATGGCGGATAGACGACGGAGCTCGTCCGGGGGCAGATTCAATGGGTGGGAGTCCCGATCGTAGGCGAAGCGGGAGGACGAACTCTTAGATTTATGCTTGGTAGGGCTATCCGAGGGCGTCGAGGCAACCCGGCGGCTTTTGTGTTTCGGGTCCCGCTGCGGTTTGGAAGAGGACTTAGAGGGGGATTGGCGGGAGGAGCCAAGGCGATGGGAGGAGGATGACTTGTTTTTGCTATGGTTACTGTAGTTGTTGGCGGTGCTGAATGTGGAGAGCTGTTGTGAGGACTGGTGGTTTTTGGAGGCAACGTCCAAGGAAGAATCGGTGTGTCGGTCGGAGGAGGCAGCACGGACCAAAGCGGGCGGATGTTGAGAATCGTGGAGCTGAAGGTCGGATAGGTCTGACCCGTTGCTGGCGGAAGGCTTGTGGTGCTTTTTCTTGTCGGGGGATTTTTTGGAGGAGGAGAAAAGTTTTGTGAGAACCATGAGTCCGGTGCGAGCGAGGTCAGACCCAACTAAAAATAAAAAGACGACTAGGGATGCGGGAGCAAGGTCAAAAAAAAAAAGGAAAAAAGGAAAAAAGGAAAAAAAAGGAAAGCAAAAGAAGCCCAGCGAAACAACCACCTAAATACAATAATTATTACAGCGCCAAACAGTCGAAAAACTTGACTGGATTGAAGACAGCAGAAAGGGAGATAATAAAAAAAAATGTTGAGGATGACAGGTCAACAACAACAGCAACGATCAAATAAAACTAAATAATTGCTGGCTGACGGACAGACAGGACGGACTGCGGGAGGTCGCAGCATCAATCCCTCCCCAGCCCTAGTATTTATTTCTTTAGAAGCCGATGGAAGTTGATCGTGTTGAGCTAAACACTTGTTCACATCCACATCAACAGCAACAGAATTTCCCCAGCCACGGGAATATTTAACCAAAACAAGACCACCCTAACAAGCCAGCTAAGGAGCTCAAGACAACAAACACAGGGCTCGTCCGAGGAGGGATCGTGGAACAGAATAGAGTCGGACACAGAGAACAGCTTAGGTTGAGAGGCAGAATCGATATAAAAACAGAATAAAACCAGTCAAGAACGCAGAAGTTGGTGCAGAAATTGCGGGAGGTGGGAACAAGGGCTCTCGGAGAGAAATAAATATCTTTTCTCTCCTCCTCTTCAAATTCAACGAAAGCGTTAATTAAGTCGGCAAGAAAAGGGATCCCCAAGATGAAGTGATGAAATGCCTTTTTTTCCACCTGGGCAACCTTCACCTGATTTGATTCCCGGGAGATAACCAGCAACAGAGAGGGGAAGTGGGAAAAAGAAATAAATCGAATTGAATGCCCATTGGACTCGAGCTCCCCAGCGAATGAAGCTCCACGCACTTCCAGGTGGTATAAACAACCCAATCGTTGAAGCCCTTGGGGGTTAACATTGCTTATTTAGCGCTCCCCCACGGCGTGAAGCAAAAAATCGTTAGTTAACGCAATTTCCGACTTCTGACTTTTGTATAAGGTAATAAATATGAATGAGGACTTGAAACGGTTTTTCTCATTTGATATTCTTCATTATCATAAGAAGTGTGCCCTTTTAATACCCTGCTTAACCCTTTGAGATTCGTAGACCAATTGCCCCTCTGCTACACGAACAAAGCAGATATGATTCGACCGCCCAGACAAACATCGATAAAAACACACCATATATAAGTGAATAAATAAAAAAAAGTATGATAGGAAAATTGCTAGCCCGTTTCATCCGCATCCTAAATCCATGCGTAGATGTCTTACCGGGAAGACTCAAACCTTATCCCACCCTCTTTTCGACGAGCTGCTCTCTTAGGCCTTGCTGTGAAGTAACTCAAAGTAACTAAGTCTCATGTCAAAATATATCATATAGTTCGGCCAAGAAAATGACATGGCCTTGGGTAATCACACCAAAAAACCAAGGGGTGACCGTTCGGCGATTGGGAATCAGGGCGAAGTCGCATATCATCCCATCCAGACATGAAATATCTCCTGGGTTAAACGAATATGATTTTAGGAAATGCGGAATAAATAGAAGTAAGGAAATGGTACAGCGCGCAAAAGGGAAAAAACGCAAAACGGCTAGAAGGTAGAATTGATAAGGAGCCAGAGATGGTCGTGAGATGTCGTAGTCATAAATAGTGGTGTAAACCGAAAAAAGGGGGGGAAAGAAATGGGAAAGGAAACGAAGCCCGTCAAATCGCCGTTGCTACTGTATGTAATGGCGAAAGACTCTTTGGTTCCGGAATTATCCCACCCCCCGGAAGTGGCGGTGTTGCAGAAGGCCCTGCTGAAGTTGGAGACTCTAGTTTCCGCATTGTTGTTCGGGAAGTCGCAGTTGGAGGATTACAGCTCCTGGGAGTGTTCTCTCTACGGCGCTTGAGGGTTTCATTCTTTGGGTGGTTATGGCACTGGTGATCAACGCGGTTAGTAATAACATTCTTCCGGGGGAACGGTTGGGCTTTAACATGGGAGTTAGAATCCAGCACGTGCCTTGTATGCATGTCTGAACCAGGTGGTACCCTTCTTTTTGCTGCTGACCAAAGCTATCCACTCGTCACAGTTCCCACAGAGACCTTCCCAAATATTTGTATTTCCGTCTGTTCGCCTCATTTCTTTTGGGGTCGCAAACGCTTTGCCTGTTGGCGCACTGATTCCGTGCGAAAAACTTTTGTCATACCAAAAGGCAGAGTTCTTGAGCACAAGCCAACGGCCGGGTTTGCAAATCCCACACCAACCCTCACGCTTATTCCCGTGCCCTCGAACCCACTTTGGTGTATATAAGTCGTTCTCGAATCGAAGCTCTTGTTCATGTGGGGTCATACTCGGATCACTTGGCATCATATCCTCCGGAGGTGGAAGTTCTCGTTCTTCCTTCAGCGGTCCTAGTAGGTCCGGTGGACCAGGAAACTCGGAATAGTGGTCAAAGTAATGATGGTGAGACTCGGTATCACTCTGTAGGGTTCTGAACAGACCTTGAGATGCTAGTGGATCAGCATTTCTGAAACGGACGTTCGCTTCAAAATTCGAAGGTAGTAGAACGTTGTTATGTAGAAAGTGTACTGGGATTCTCCCTGCATGTTGTCGTGTGGAATTGGTCGAAGGAATACTGCGTTTTTGCCTCATTAAAGGAGATGGAAGACGAGATCTGCTGGAATGAGTTTGTGTTAAGAATGGAGAGGTAGCACGATTAGGACGTGGTCCATAGGAGCCTGTTGACCACCGTTTACGGACGCCGTCAAAACTATGTGGAGATGCTTGAACGCTTGCACGAGGGGATTGCGATGTTCCTACCCGATTTCCTCCACGAACGAGGTCTGTCTGTGAATGTCTTGGGGATGGCACAGGGGAAAGCGGCGTAGAAGAGAGGTTGAATGAACTTCTGGGAGTGTAGTCAGAACTAGTAGCAGAGGCGAACGATGGGACTTCGGAAAATGCAGAAAGATCGACAAAGTCGAAAGATCCTGTGTTGTTTGACCGGGAGAAATATGAATCGGATAGAGGGCGAGTAACGATGTTTGTATCGAGTGTAAGTGACTGGTGATCTGGAAGCAGGTTAAACCTTTTACCACTCCCGACCGTGGCCTTTTGGCCATGGGAAAGCTCGCTCGGGAACAAAACTAAATCGTGATCAAGCCCTGAAAAAGTAGACAGCCCCTCTACTAAATTCTGGTCATCGAAACCTGAATAAATGTTAGAAGTAAATAAGGAACCAAATAGCTAGGCCACACATACGATCGTCTATAGCGGTGATTTCCAAGAGCCCATTTGGCGTTCCAAACTCAGGGCCCATAAAGTAATGTGCTGGCATTTGGATCCCGTGTATGCTCCAAGCTGGTACTTTATCCGAATGGAGAGTGTAGGGAAGCGAATAATGACTTTCATTTATCGACTTGGACGTAGCAGCCATCGATGGATTGGGCTGGCTCTCTGTAGTCCAGGCCCTGAGCCCATATGGCTCTAGCGTGGTGCTTCCCCCATTTCTGGCTGCCATATTCCCGTCCTCTGATACTTTCCTAAAGCCAAGATTGTTCATTTGCATGCCATTTCCCAGGGTTGATGGCAACATGTTTCTAATGAATGAAAATATCAGCATCACAGCCACATAAGGGAAAGATTCATTTTATGTCCAGTTCAACATACCCTTGTCCGACCTGACCATAATCTATATCATTGCGCGTCATATTGATTGGTCTCTTTGGATGGCCAACACAGCATGCGAGTCTTTGCGTTTTGCGAATCTCGTTAATGCCTATGGCCGATACTACACAACACACTAGCTTCCAGTGCCCAAGGGAGGGGTAAAATCGGTTGGCCCTGCGAAAGATAGCCTGCTCAATCCTTTCGTAGGACCTGAAAGCAGAGCAGAAAAGACTATGCGGAAATCTCGAATTTAGATTCTCAATCAACTGAGTAAAGGAGTGTGGCTTCATGAATGAGCTCGTTCCGCAACGAATGTTCGAATTGTATTTAAACAAAAATCGTCTTTAGCCGTTACCAGCAACTTAGGACAAGGAGTGGAGTCCAGCACTGGGCAACAGCGGACAAAATAAATGTTCCCAAAGATTAAGGTTTGTAATCTTGAAATATAGCAAGAATCATGAATCAAATGAGTGATCAAGAGAGCGACTAGAGTACATACACGGTGGGAAACCAGAGGCAAGACCGGCAGGAAGGACAACGGAGCGAGAACAGAAATGCACAGGAGGGCCGGGCATCATAGAGTATATTGATCCCGGGACCGGTTGGTTCAAGACCATATTGTTCCCGCAGGAGGAATGGCCGGAAATGCACTTAAGAGCTAGTCGGCAAGACTCAAAACATCCTCTGTTACCCAATTTGCCCAGAGGTGGCCAGCGAACTCTCCCAAAGCAGGTTAGCATTGCGTTGGAGTACCCATCTAACCAACAATTGAGGCTAGTATCTGCAAGAGCAGTAAGGGCCAGGGTGTGAAGCCAAACCAGGGGGCTTAAGGGTTTGACGCCCGACTTTCATGAAGGTAAGTGTGTCTCATCATTTTCTGGAGAAAGTGTAACATCTGCTCTCGAATGGCAAATTCAGAATGGGTATCAACCACATTGGTTAAGCGTACCGATGCCGCTGTGTTGTAAAAATAGTGCATGCTCTTTTCACTTGCACTAGGGCTGCCGTGGGCATCAATCAGTGCAGTCCTGTGTGGAAGGATGAGGGTGGTTCAGTTTCTCGTAGGCGCCAGAAAAAACCCCACGCCGTCCGGTCCAGGAGCACAATTGCTTCTGATAGGTGGGCCAAGTCTCGTCATGGAAGATGTTCTGCACTTTGTTATTTCTTGCTATGGGAAAGGAATTGCAATGCCCCTCTGCGTAGAAAGAGGGAAGTGCTGCCTAGCAGTACGTCGTCAACGATGCCCTGGTGTTAGCCGTGGATACTGGCGGAGACGGTGATGAGACTCGGGGCGATGCTGAGTTAGACCTGATGTGGGATGGTTGTTTCATGTGACAGGGGCTCAAACATCCATGGACCCGGACTTCTTCAGGATACGGCATCGCGAACAGGTCTATCAGCACCAACGTTGCTGGGACCCACCAGGGAATTCCAGGCTCTATCTTGGGACTAGAGTCTTGACAGTATCAAAATAGGAAATCCTTCTTTCTCAAGTCTTTTGAATATTTCCGAAATCTGGTTGTTTCTGGCCTTCCCCTGAATTGCTTCCTGTAACGCGTCTCAAATAGGTCAGGTATGGAGACCTTATCCAGCCCCACGCCAGTAGAGTTAATTTCCCTTTGAAAGGACCTTGACTCAGTCTTATGGTTTCATTCACATGCCGCATTGCACAGATGATAGTAGTTTCTCCCGCGGCTAATTTTAACGCGCGCCAAATTCGCCTAACAAACGCATATCAGCCTCTATCTACTGCGTGATTCACCGTGAAAACGGTTGGATAATCCATACAACGAAATATCAATCTAAAAATAAGAAGGTCTTCGGGGAATTCCTAATTTTCTGTATACCATTCAACTAAGCATCTCTTAGGTCTTCATTTCAAGGGCTGTCCAAGATGCTGTTTAATAAACCGAGCGCTAAAAATTGGTATCTTGCGGCAGATATAAACCGCCAAAATAAATTCGTTGCTTGGCTCATATGGATGTTCCTATGATGTTTCATTTTTCTTCTTCACTCAGAAGTAACTCATATTCAAATTTGCAGGCGCCACAAACACGGGAAGTTTGCCATCTCAACCCATATTTTGCAGAAATACGAGAGAGGGCTGACCACTAATATCCGATGAGGAAAATATAAACTTGCAACCAGTGCCACAGGGATTCCGGGGCTTCGGACCTCTCCAAGGCAGTACTAGTAAAGTTTCGGTGTTCTCGATTTGAAACTGTCTTGCAGCTGTCCATGCCGCAGAAATCCTCTAGTCATTTTTTACACCGGAAATTCTATTCCAGATTTTCTGTAGATTGAGTTGCGACAAATTTACGTCTGCGGTTTGAAGCTCTCCTGACTGTCAAAATTGCATATTATTCTTGTCACAGTTTATTGAAACAAGACGAGGTCTCGAATGCATAACATCTTCCATAGCGCATCAAGCTAATCCATGAAGAACTGCTGTTTTGGCCATGCAAACAAACCAAGCCAAACAATTTCAGAATATGCACACTCCCCCTTGTGCGTGTCCAATCAACCTCGTCCAGTATTTACAGGGAATCATTGGCGCCCACAGGGATAACTAGTTCCACCAACACAGTACAATGCACATCCAATTCATACATTGTCTTGACTTAGAAAAGAAGAAGAATAGGTCTTCCAAAGGTGCCGTAGAAGTCACCCACCGCCCTCCCACCCAAGAGATTCTAAAAATAACCCTCCGGGCCTGGAGGAATTTAAGCGCCTGGGGGGGGTAACTATTGTGGCCTGTGCGTATGTGGGTCAACTTGGGCGCTTATGTATGACGCTAGATGGTGTTGGATGAAGGACAAACAGCAATACATTGGGTTAACATCCATGTTATGAGGTAGATGAGCAACCATCAGCAAGTCTGGAAGATAATTAGCTCAAGATTTCCCACGGGAAGTTATGTTAGTTCCATGACCCAACAAGGAGTTGTTGCTTGCTTCACTTGAATAGATGTCATCAACCATCAGGGTGTGCACCGCCTACACCCAGAAGAAGAAAAGAAGCATACTAAATGAATTTGCAGATAAACACTGGCACGGGATATTTGACGAAATTTAAATGAAAGAGAATTGTGATCCGTTAGCCACACAGAAACTTACTATTGAGTGGGTATACCCTCCAACATAGCAACAGGCTAGACAGTAAGCATCTTTCAACTGACGAAATTCTTTGGCGATTCTCGAGAGGGAGGGCTTCCAACTAGTTCAATCTGGCGGTGTAGATTTGACAGGGTCTGTATAAAACAGTTACCCCCTGCTAAAGTCACTATTTGTGATATAATGCAATCTCTCAATTATAGGTGACTACCCTGGTAAGTGAGCAGGTTGGGGGTTTGGCTCTGTGTTCCCCGTCCGATTTCAGTTTAAGAATTCCTTCCATATCATTATGGGGTTTTTTTGGTGCTTTCTCTTACCAGGCAGGGTAAAGGCAACATGGCCTACTGTATAAACATGTTCATTTGACTGCAGTGGTTGCATCGCACTCCGTCAATGCTTGTTGGGCTGATTGTGCAATAACAAGCGAAAGCCCTTAGAACCCTTTCAACCACAGATTAAAGAGGATGAAATTGCTTAATAAATAATCCTAAGATTGTCAAAGAACGTGGAAATACCGACCCATAGAGTCAAGGTTTAATGGCCGAAGAAGAAAAGATGGATAGAAAGAAAAGAGGTCACCCTGCAAAAATTGTGTCTAGCACAATGGGGTATTCAATTTTTAAATTTAGAATCATAAGACAGATTCACTGAGCTAGCATTTTCTCAAATGGTAAGATGGAAAGTCAAACTGGAATAGCGAGCTATTCCGCGAACAATATTTCCAACTAGGGAAAGTTGTACTGCACAGTCAAGTATGACAGTTGTGGGGACTAGAAATCAAGGGCCTATTATGGAAATTCTCGTGAAATCGTCCACATAGTGCATGGTGACTTCCACCCTGCTCTAAGGCTGGATCGAAAATGCCCTGTATGGCAACAACCGAAAAGAGGCTGTATGAAGGCAACGCATTTAGCAGGATATAGAGACGCAATATGGCACGAACTTGGACGATTGGTAATAATCGGCATGCGTCCCACGAGTTGAGTGACAAAATAATAATACTGATTTCCTCTGCTGCAAAAACGTGAAGTGACAATCCTGGGTGGAGTTAAAGGATGATATTAACCAAAGAGAAAAGGAAAAAACCACCAGGCCTATGTATTTAAGAAATTATATGTTCATGCGAAATCCGCATTCACTTCATTCTTGATCCAATTAAATGGTTGGCCCTGTACATCGCCGGATGTTGAAGTGGATGCTGCTGTGCCGTTAAACATCGTATTCCTTTGGAGAAGCTTCTTGAGTTCTTTGTTCAGCGCCTTCTCCTCAGAAGTCTGCGACTTCTCAAATGAATTTTCGTAATCCAGACGAATCGTCTGGAAGAGCATTTCGATCTTCAGGGCAAGGAAGTTTCTAATGGATTGGAGAGTACCTTCCAGCTCGGACTGGACGTGTTCTGTGCTTTTGCGGAACATTTCGTGGCGACCCTTTTGCACATGCTCAGTCATGATGTTTTTCATGCGTATGTGAACTCCCTGTCCTACAGATTCTGTTGGCATTAGAAACGATTACAAGCTGGCTGGTTACTTACCACTTGCAGACCCACAGTCCTCATAGGCTTCCTTCAACTCGGCTGCAATTATCGGAACGAATGCACGATTTGCTGCCTTATGGCTTTGATTCAACATTGCATCACTCGCGCAGGATATCTCCTTGAAAGAAGCCTGGTAGGTTGTAAGCTGAGACTTCAGCTTCAGTGGTATGTTAGGATTAGCTGTCCTAGCAGAGAGACGAGGCGCAAGACTCTCATTCAATGCTTTTACATAGCCGTACGAAGTTTCGGCAAATCGGGATAGCATTTTCGGGATTAGAAGCGAGAAGGAACTACACGATATTTAGCATGTCTTACAAAAACAACGGAGATGTTTCTTACCGTTCCCAACTAGCCGCAAGAATTGGCATCATAGGTTGGATCCTAAAAGTTGTCAGACATAACAGATTTCCCCTATAGGAGCCATCAAACCTTACAGCTTACTATTCCAGTCCTATTACAATATTAGAAATACCCTATCCAAAACAGAAAAGGAAAGGAAAGGAAAGCAACAACGTTAATTGATCGAAACTCACATGATGCTTGTAGACCCCTTGGCGTCTGCAAATCGCTTTATAAGTGTTCCAGGCGAGACCTTCTGGAGAGATTTTGCGTGAACGGTGCCATTCCTCAAGAGTGTTTTCAACCTCATTGCAAGCCTGTGATGAAGCGAAACCTGCGAAATATCAGCACAACTTTCTTATAATAACATTTCTAGAAGGCAGGGGGATAGGATGACACACCAAATTTATCGAAAATGTTACGCTTGATGGCGCTGGTGATTTCAGCCAAAAGTTCTCCAGTTAGATTCTCCAGGTCCTGGATACGAGTGAGCAGATAGAGGCGACGAAACATAAACATCAATTGATCTTGATTTAGAGCATACCAGTTGCAGAGCATCCAATCTACTTTGCAGGAAAATACGGTTATTTTCTTTGCGCTCCTCGCATAGGGACTCTGAAGAACCACTAATGGAACATAACAGATCCAAAGAGTTCACGAGCTGTTGTAGCCCATTTAGGAACGATTGGCAGCCAGATTTGCGTTGAGCGACGGTCAAACTCAGACAATGAGCTTGGAGAGCTGGTATCTCAGTTTCCTCGGTATTACAGAATGCTTTGACGGCATGGTCGCGACGGAGTCTCCCTTTCAATTTTTGATATGCTTTGGAGGACACACAAAAGACCGGAAGTGCTCTGGCAACCTGATCGTAATCCCTGAGATCAACACTCGGGTCAAAACTCTCCTCCTCCGCATTTGCCTCGTCCAATTGCCGAACCCCATCAGTAAAGTCCTGCCGAATTTGGGCCTTCACGGTTTGGTTTCTCTCTATAATACACCTTAGACCTAGTTTATTTTGTTTTCTTTGCTCGTTTTCCCGAGCATTATTCAATAGCTCGATCATCTGTTTTATCTCCGAGTCAATCTGTTTTTTCCGATGCGACAGGTGTTTTCGTTTATTTGAAGCATCACACCATCTCTTTTCTACAGAATCTGCTGGCTGGTCGTCATTTATTTCCATGTTGTTGTCGTTTAGGCCACATTCGTTGGTGGCGTTTTCCCCATGCCGTTTGAAGTCCGGGTAATAGTCGGTTGGTCTATTTCTTTTTGGAGAGCCATCATTGCCTTTCAACGGACTGAAACTGCATCCCATAGCAGCCATTTCTTCACAAATATCATCGATTGACATAACAATTTCGTTGCGCTCATCTTTCAAGGCTTCGAGGTTCTCCTGAAGAAGTGTAGTGGAAATTTCTGGAGTCTCCAGAGTCGAAAGTGGCTCATCGACTATATCCTCAAAATCAAGAACCATTTCTGATAAATTAATATCATCAGTTTTGGAACATATGAATGTCACTGCACTAAGGGTGCCGTCCATTTGGATCCGTCTTTGGAAATTATTTGAGAGAAGGGTCTTCGCTGTTTTATCATCCACTGCCCGCGTTATGGGAGCCACCACCCAAAGAGAGGAGCATTGTTCAATGTATCGAGACGCAACTGCAGCTCTCGCAGCATTGGCATCCTGCATGCCAGGCAAGTCGACAATAGCAGCTCCGGTAGCAAGAACAGGCGCCTTGACGTACAAGCGAACGATGCGTATCAAAGGCCAAAATTCCATGCTGGTTCCCACGCTTTCCTTCGCGTTCCGCAAACCTCCATTACAACCTTTTTGACCACCAGTTTTGCTCTTCCCCTTCATGCCTTTGCCTCGGGTCTTGGTTTTGCTGTCAACGTATTTCTGAAGTTGGGTGTAGAAAACAATCGGATCATCTTCGGCGAATTCAATCGTTTTCCCTAGAACATTTGACACATTTTCATGTACTAAAAGCTCTTTGATCGACGATTTTAGAATGTCTGGGGTGTCCGGGTATACCGCAGTCGTTTTTGCTCGAGCAATCGCAGAGTCGGAATTATCTCCCTTCTGTTGATTCCCAAGTTCGATATCACCAAAAATTAATTTTAATTCCTCCTCCCACTCTGCCAAAGAAATAAATTCAATCTCTGCTCTGTAACGGTTTGGTGCATGGTTGAAAGATATCTCAGTCACCACGGCGGTACATGCACGCATACTGTTTGTCGGGACCAAACGCTCCTCGTCTAAAAGCGCGTTGATTAGAGAAGATTTGCCTGCCCCTGTGGTTCCGACAACACCGATAATGACCCGAGGTGGCACGGCTTTCTTGCTAAGTTCTTCGGTCTGTTTGAGCCATCTATTCTCCGATGGTTGGTGAGAGTATTTCTGAAATAGAGATCTCAACCGATCCAGAAAGTGAAGTCCTTCTTTCCTTCCATTTTCAAGGTTTTCAATACTGCAATCGTGATTCAAGTAGCGACGCCGTGTGGTGGATGGGGCTGGGACAAGTTCTTTCAGCTTAATTTCCACTCGTCCTATTAGTCCATTGGTAGGGTTATCCGCTGGAGCATTTGCTTGGAGTTGTGGGGTTAAATTGAGGGGCAAATTAACATTTGCCGGAGCTGTTTGACCGGTCGGGTTAATTACCAGAGGTGCCTCACCAAGCAAAACGTCTGCCACCTGAAATGGATTATCGTAGTTAGCCTCATTGTCCTCCTCTAGTTTAACATCGTCGAGAAGTTCGGGGTAAGCAGAGCAGTTGGCATGAGGCCCTGGAGACCCTGGAGGATCTGCCATTTTCGAGGTTTGGACACCCAACCTAGGCGAGGAGAATGAAAGAGAAATCGGTTAGCAATATGTTGCGCCGTTGTTTGACTTGTAGTTTGGGGTTAAAAGACTGCGCTGTAAGCAGCTGGGTTCTAATGAGAAACTAGACTTCCCGTGGTAAAAAGGGAATCGAGGATGAAAGAAATATAGAAAGAAGTTTCGCAAGCAATGGCGTATCTTCACCTACAACACAACCGTCAACACATGCAACTCTGTCATCGCCACTCATACGCTGTGTTATTGCACACCCTCCCGATGCCAACTTCTCCCGACAAAATAGACCAGTGTATGCGAATATTTACCGAGACACGGCTTTACACAATAGAAGTGTTCGACCAGCTATGGGCTGAATTCCACATGGCGAATTATTTCACGAAGTGGAGTATCGGCTTTGATAGAGAAATACCCGTTGACTGTCCTTCTCAAATTTCGGCAAGCCTGAAGATATCAAGCAGGAGGAGAGACCAGAGTTGCTGCTGGTACTCATCATGGATACCAATTCTCTGCCCTCGCAACAAACCCTAGGTATGTTGCTTGTTGTTAATAGGCTATGGAAAATCATCCACAGTAGTAAAAAAGGCCAAACAAAGGACGGCGTATTGTAGATATACATACATACATATATATATATATATATAAATGGCACATCCAGGTATATAAAAGCCCTAGTGCGACAGCATGAGGGAAGGTCCAAGCCAACTCCAACTTAGGGATCTTTTGCAGCCGAACATCTTTTGCTCCAGATGAAGATATCAAAGCACAAAAAATACTGAGACCGCAACAGGGTGAGCTTCTGGTATAATTCTTGGAGACTCTGGCATGCACCAGCTCCGCCTATTTGTGGTCTGGGGAACGACGTAATACTTGAATCGCTTGGGAATCTTAGGCAATTTCCATGATTCAAGTATTCTCCACTCATTCAAAAGGCTTTTTGTTGCCTTTATGTTCAGTTTGCCCTTCCCATGGTTTCATGGCGAGTTAGATTGGTAGTATCTAGGGAAAAAATGTTATAGAAATCGCACGAGAAGAAACAACTCTGTTTTTTAATTCTCACAGGCAACTAAGAAAGTAGCCACGCACGCGGGAACTTTTGGTACACGAGAAGCAATAGCTCACTCGTAGTGGGAGAGAGTTGTCCAAATAGTTCGTTCTCTTGTTGATGCTGTCTGTACAATTATTTCCATGATCTGAAAGACGTTGACCATGTATACTACCACGGCATCTTGAAATCGAAAATGTTCCATGAAATATCGAGAGCAAACACCAACAGTAGGAGATATTGGAAGATCCGCTCTCTCCTAAAGCATATATATACGAATGCCCAACCCCCATTTCTTCCCGGTCGAGGCCGGATAGGAGGGTCATATGCAACAAAATTGGATCCACTGGGTTGCGCCTGATTATTGCAGCCTTCTTGTGGAGAGAGTAACAGTCTGTCCACAGCAGGACCACCGTTGTTAGAATGAGAATGTTCAGGGGAATGCGGGAAAGGAAGTAAGAAGCCAAGAGCCTCTGAACACTCCTCAGCCGATTGACTAGCTTCAGGAATATGCTCACCAGTGGGGGTTTTTCAGGGCACGCACATTTGTCACAAACATCAATTGGCGTCAAAGATCAGACCCCCGCAGTCTCCTCTATCATGAGAAATCCCCCGGCAAAATGGGTTCCAGCAAATTTCCCCATACATCCGATAATGCAGAGCAGAAACCCGATATGTGCGAGCTCCGTGAGCTCCGTCACCGCTTGCCCGGAGCGACAAAATCCAAGCAGTGACAAGCGTGTCAACTGCGAGTACGAGCACGAGCACGAGCACGAGCACGAGCACGAATACTTCGTCTCCTTCATCTTATCTTTCATTCCTCAGTCGTTACTAGACGGTGGCTCAAATTTAGTGTGCACCATCAAATGCACTCTTGCTTCGTGTCGCGTGTCCACTCTCACAATACGTGGTGCCATTGAGAGTGAAGCACAGGCCAAACTTATGCTCAATTTGATTCTTTGTTTTTGGATGAAGCATCTAAAAAGGGCTCAATTTATAGAAGTATTCCAGCGGGATGTAGCCATGAATTAAAAATGGGGAAAGATGTGGTTGAGGTTGCAGGTAAAACCGCCAGACCACGATGGTTACTCATTGGTCACTCCTCAGCTCAATTGCATCGAAACGGAGAGCAAATCCTGCGAAACATGATGATTATCACGCCTCCTGATCAGGAACCGCTTGACTCAATGCCCTGCGCTGCGGAAACGAGAGTCAGCAAGGCAAAGCTGGCCCACCCACCACAACAATATCGGCTAAGGCTGTGCGAAGGGTGCTGTCAAAAGCAGTGTTTCGCACTAAGAATTAAATTTAAACCGGCGTTAAGTATTGCCGCTCCATCTCTCAATCGAGGATTTTAGAGGAGGCCAATGCCCGTGGTTTGCTCCCACAATTCCAAGAAAGGATCCTTACACTAGTATTGGGATTTCAGTTCAAATTATGGGTGTGAGATATTACTTTTGAGAGCGTCCTCTGTAGATCCCAGGCTCGACGTATTTAGTGTACGATCTTGTGAGAAGTGACCAATCTTCCACTTTGCAGAAGCTATTGGGCGTTGGGAAAGTCGTGTGCAGGGTGATGTACGAGGAATGACCCTGACCCCTCGCGTAACAATTAAATATATCCATGAAAGTATTACTTTTAACTAGTTCTTAGCTACCCAGTGTCAAGGATATACAGTGAGCAAATCTAAATGGATGTAATGGCATGTAAAGTATCATAGACTAGCCTCGAATGGTCCGCGGTACAAGCCCTTTGATCTCCAAACCACAGTCAACGTTAAGGGCTCGGCGTTCACCTCTTTCGAATTATCAAAAGGGAAATAACTCTCAGGAGACCTGGACGAATCGAGACAGTCGGCGTTGGGAAAGTACGAGAGAGCTCTGGGCAAGCGTTGATCAATATCAAGTTCAACCCAGGGATTGTGTTATAAAAATTTGTTTCTTGGTGCACGAATGGAGGCGGAGAACAGGCAATAATCGGCAGCCAGCGGACAAAGGATCATCTGGGCCGAATCACGCTGATCAATTTCGATCTCAGCGCTCGTAAGCTGGCGACAATCATGATGGCGATCAAGTTGAGCAGCAAAAAAAAAAAAAAAAAAAAAAAAAAAAAAAAGACTCAGGGTTGAAGTCTTCAATTGGAGTGGATAGGCGGAATAGCCCCTTCCAGATTCCTTATTCACGAGTACAAGATGCATGACGATTTAATAAGATTTATCCGACTGTCAGGGAACTCTCTTCTACAAAGGCGATCGGGGTCGTCAACATTTGCATTTTAAAGAATTTCAATATAAAACTCTTATCTGCTTGTGAGCCTGAATAATATCAGGATATCAGAAATCTACCAGTGTTTTACTGCTATGGCGGCTCCGACTTCAACGCTCGCCCTCTAGATGGAAACAAACGGGAACAGAAGTGAACAGTGTGACACTGCATGGATTGTAATCGGTAGCATCCTCACTCCCTTATCCCTACCCAAACAGTTTTTGGTCGATTGTCAGAAATAATTGACGACGCTGGTCGCGAGTCAGTATTCCGACCAATAGACCCCTATCCACGATGGCAAGGTAAAAAACGAGTTCTATTTTTCACGGTGCTCTATGTGCATTTCAGTACGAATCATGGGAGAACAACACTCCATCCAAATTCTTCTCCAAGCTGTTTCCAAAGTCTATATATAGTATACGAGCTGCGGCTTCAACCAACCTCAGATATTCCACACCGCATAACGAGATCAGTAACATACCGACTTCGTCGCGTGGGTATGGGAGAAAGCGTCAAGCGGGTTTTCCGTAGTCCAACATCTCCCGGAGACATACTCTGTGCCTTCAGGAGAAATCGCATAAGTGTTTTGTCGGGTCGTGAAATATGCCTTGGCGCACCAATTGCGAAGTTGGGCATTTATCTCATGTTCGATGATGCTGCTAAGCCTCCGGCCAAAATTGACGAGAACAAGAAATTCGCGGGGATAAAGCGCTGCACAGCGGATGAGAGGGGGAACGTTGTTGGACTCCGGATGTATCTGACTTCTGCAAGGTTGACAGGAAGATTTCCCAAAGTCGATTTTGCCCAATTCATGGTTTTTGTGTTAACCAATGAATACCCTGGGCTCGATTGTGGTTCGTGTTCCCTTCACTCACGAAATCACAGTCATTTTTTAGTCTATATTGCTTGAACCGCAATACGAGTAAAGGGGATTCCCCCGCGCCTATCCATGTGGCTGCATTATGGTGCGCTTGGCTGCGCCATCCTGCCCTGCAAGTGATGGTTTCTTGGTATCCCTCTCTTTTTCGACTGTCGGGGCGAATTCAGGGGAAGGGGAGAAGAGAGAGCGTAAGATGAAACGACATCAAATTTTCTATCAATGAGAAGAAAATAAATAAATAAATAAATAAATAAATAAATACAGTATATATATAAAATGATACATAAAATGTGTCTTAAGTATGTCAACTCAATATCCAAGTCCAAAAACGCCCATCCCAACCAGTCAGTGCCTTTGCACCAAGGCCAGTAGATTTATAGCAAAAGTAATATAAACATGGGTATCTAAAACGGATCAAAACGACAGATAAACTCAAAAGATGCTGATGAAATGACAATATTTTTAGGAATCCATGCAAAGGATTGTTTTCCCCGTGGGAGCCCTTTGAGAACAATACCCTCCTTAAGGAAATCCAAAGAGGGAAAAGGGGGGAATAAATAAATAAAAAATATCACCCAAAGTTGTCATGGATGTAAAGGGTGAATGAGTTTGGACATGATAAATGCACAGTCGAAATCTGCTGCCGGAAATGACAACCTGTCAAATCCCAAGTAGTAAAAGCCGTCGAAGTCGATATAACAAGTGTCATAACTTGCAATCGTAGCAAGAGACTCGTCGAAGGGAGAAAAAAACTAAATCCAAAAAGAACCCTTGAACCAACTCCAGAAATATACACAGATTTTGAAACTTTTCACTCGGGAAAGGGAAAAAAAAACAAACCACAAAATAATGATATCTTTTTGATGGCACTTAGCGCACCGAATTCGATCCACTAACTCTCTTCGCCACGAGGGTCCACTGGCTTTCAGTTCCCGTTCGGGTAGCGACATCATCGAAGTTTCTGCCAGGTGTATAGGTTGGAAGAATATTGTTGTTGTTGGCGGAGTCGTATGGGCTGAGGGTGTAATGGCCCGGTAATTGTGCGAAGAGGAGTTCGTCACTCGCATTCGAGGTTCTGGTTGTTCCGATGGTAGAGCTAGGTCGACGATCATTCAACCACCACTGTGTTTGAGGAGAGTGCTGCACGCTGCGGGTGTCGTGGTCCGGGAACATCCAAATATGGCGCTCGTTTGACCAGACGAGCCTTCCGCCTGACCTAGCCTGTCGAGAATCCTCTTTGGAGCAGGCAGTGAGGATGTCAGAAGGACGGAGAGTTTCGCTTTTGTTCCTCCTAAGCTTCGACCAGAAATTCTTCCGCATTCCGTTGTCGGACTTGGATGTCTTGATCGTTTGCTCACGGTCAGGGGACAAGATGGAGATGGGCCGATCAATTGGTGCTCTGATTGTACATGGCGACACCGGTGCGTAGCATTGAGGTAGAGATTCCTGCGGTGAATATAACTCTATCTTTGGCACCCCAGCCATGTTTTTATAGTGTCTTGAATATTGTGAACTGCCTCTTTGATTTTGATACTGGTTACCCAGATTGTAGGTAAACGACAGTCCTCGGGCGGAGTGATATAGGGACGGCGCAGCAATATAGGTAATAAGTGTCAATCAATATCACAACCTGGTGGAGGCAACCGCCAGGCCCGTTCTATAAGAGCTGCCGATAATGATTCTTTCAAGGAGGGTGACGTTTGGCTTTATAATGAATGAATCAAGCAGGAGTGGGCGGAGTCAGCGGCGCAAAATGTGGGCGCTGTTGCCCTCGGGCCCTAGTCCGATCTAAGCATAAATCAAAAGAATCCATGCTAGCATCATTTATTTGAACAGTGAAAGTCCAATGCACGATGAACTAGCTCGGGAGGCGTTGCGATCTTAGTAAAACCCGCCTCCGCTACTTCCTTCATGGCAGTGTTTCGCTGCTTCGCCTTGATTTGAGCTACAACTCCTCATAAGCGGGAAAGACTGTTGATCTCGCAGCCAAATCACGGATACGGTCGACATTATTCTCCTAGCGCTTTGAATACGATGGTTGTTGACATGAGCGGCCGTCCCATTTTCTAAAAGGTAGATATCTGATCCTGAAGGGGAGGAGAGAAAACCAAAAATATGATATGGGTCTAGGCTATTAGCGACAGCTTATTTATCGGCTAGTTATGGAATCTGTAGATGGAGTGAAACTACGGAGTAATTCTATGAACATTAGGGCTTTAACACTAATTTCAACGAATGCACATACATGCAAAGCTATAATCATCTCGTCCTTGAGCCTCGGGAATGGGTAGCTTTGCCAACACATGACGCAGAGCGGCTTGAAGTCCATGATAATAGAGGGAATTAAATTTCTCTTATATTGCAGAGTCTTGCTACACGCCACTGCGATGTGCAAAATTTATGGTTGGCTGGAAATTCATCGCTTTTTTTTGACCTACCCCAGGCACCCAGGGCCGGAGACCGCAAAAATCCATCTCAGCCAAAAACCCCACGCGGATGGTCATCATGCTCCACCCCTCCTCATGCCTCCACTGGATTTAGAGATTCAGCTCATAGATCATGTGAGATAGAGAACAGGATATATCCAAAATGAGTGAAAAACTTCAACCCGCTGGTAAGTGTGTCTTCTGTTGGGGGGTTTGGGTTGGTTCGTTCCTTCTACTAGCATTGGCGCTGGTGGTGATCCAGCTCTTTTGTTCCAGTGGCCTAACACCTTCTCTACGAGCAGCACCTCGTTCCATATCATTTTCTATGCGATCTTTAGCTAGTGCTCCTTCCGCGCTCCTCGTTGTTGGCAAGTTTGGTGCCACAATCCATGTTCTCCATCTCGTTCCCGAGGACGGCGCCATCGAACGCTTCAGTCTCACAACCCCATCTTCCACCTTCCGCTATGGTGGGGCCACGGAGCAGGGCCGCCAGCAGATCGGTGTGGTCACACTTCACGTTGGAGATGGCGAGACCACCACCAACTTCCTCAATGACATTGAAGCCCGAGCCCGCAAGCTGTGGAACTCTTCCCTAAGCTTGAGCCCGGCGCGGAGTGTTGAGGTGATTCAACTGGTGCAAAACGTCCTCCAGCCAGCGGCCCTTGATGTGATTCGTGAAAAAGAGGGGCGAGATCGCTCTATGAATGCCACACAGATGTACCCCGTTTTTGTTGTTCACATCGCACGCTCAAGGGCAGGTAGGATCCTGATGGCTGAGCCAACGAGCATCTCTCAATGAGATCCTGTCGGCTTTGCATGCGTGATAGTAATACATCAACACAATGCTTATTCTCTACATGGCTTGCTTTGTTAGAATACGATACCCGTGAGAGCAGTTAAGCACGTCGTGCAGCTAGTCACCAGCCAATAGCAAGCAATATCTAGTCTCTATATCAATGAACATCAAATGCTTTGACAATGAAAGCTTAGACTGCTAAATCAGGTGTACTCCTTCTATTTCATAAGAGTAAATCTCTAACAGAACATCTTTATCTCTAGTTTCCCTCATATCTCACAGGGAGTTGCACTGACACAGTGCTGCAGTGAGAATTTCTTCAACATGCTTCATATATTTATATGTTCAAGTCCAATGCCTGTGTCACATCATGTCCTTGACTTCTTCTGCCCTCTAAATGAGCGGCTGGAACCCCTTCACAGCCAGCACATTGAATCCACTCTGGGTGATTGTCCTGTTGTTAATGAGGTGCTGCAGGATCTGGCTGCAGAACTTCTGACAGTTGACAACAAGATCAAAGGGGCGGTTTTGCGCCGCCGTATGGCAGTGCACGTCAAGCGCTTCGTAATCGAGTCCGCAGTCGGAGTCGAATTGAGAATAACGGCTGTAGATGGGGCAAATCATTTTACAATGGAGCCCCCTACCGGTTTTTATGAATTTGCCACGAATACTCTTGTGGCAATGTAAAGGACATGGGCCGTTTTTTACGCATCTCCCCGGACTAATGCTTTCTTTTTTCTACATACTTGATCTCGGAAATCACATCTGATGACGAGAATGCCGGTTATGACGCTGAACGCGTATGTAGATCTCCAGAGACTGCTAAGGAGAGGTTGTAAATAGATAGATATATATATATAGATATATAAATAAAGAAAAGGAAAAAAGAAAACCCGGTTCTAGTTGAACATGGTTAGCAAAATGGAAAATCAAAATTTCTAACAATGACACATCAACTTGGTTAGAGCTTGATAACATATAGATAGATTTAGCTCCTTTTCTATCTTCTTCAAGGTTTTGCAACTCTATGACATTGTCATTACGTTTTCCTCATACAGATGTAAATATATGCCAATCATCGTCAAGTCATTTAGAAAAATATCTCGTTGATAGGCTCTGCTGATGGGTGCTGCTGATAAGTATAAAGGGGTTGACTTAAGTGGTGAGCACTGTCGTCTAGGGGCGTCTAGGTTGAACACGGTTTGATTTTGTAAGGTGATATTAACCACGAGGAGAGCAGGTTTTTCTAATCTTGTTCAACTAGGTGCCCAATGAAAAAACCGTTCCCATGATGATAAAATTGCGGGAGTCGAATATCTGACCCGGAAAGAAGAGGAGGAAGAAAATAATGGGTATCTGTATCGTTTGATCCCGCCTGTTCAGTGTCTCACTTAACAAGCAAGATATGGCTAGGGCTGGCGGATAGATATCATATGGGTGAGTCGAGCCGGAGGAACATTGCCATCCGCCACGCAGTGTAGCATGGTATACATGGCGAGAGCGATTGTATGTGGCAGGTAGTCAAGCAGAGCCGCCGCCGCCCGTGCAGCAGATGTATTGCATGTGTTTCAAAGGTACAGTTGGCAACTGTGCGCCGTAGTGCTTGCCGAAAAGCTTGCCGGAAAGCTGGTGATGAGCGGGGTCCCCGTTTCGGCAAAGAGGTTTAACTCACATACATACTACTATCCTATGAAGCTAAAATCGGCCGAGATAAAATGAGAAAAACAAGGTGAGGATGGGTTTAGTCAAGCCTGTTCCCAATCCGCTAGCGATCCAGCATAAAAAAAACCTATCCCGGGGTACGGATTGGTTCGTGGCATCGTAGAACTGTTGTTTTTGTGGTCTCCCTCATCCTCTTCATTTTTCGGGGAATTGGGTCGCTAAAAATTTCGCAACAGCAGCGAGAGGAATGCAGAAGCAAAAGAAAAGAAAAGAGAGAAAAGAAACTAGATTTATCACCTATTCTTTGTGGTCATCCAGATTGCTGCAACCAATGACACCGCTGTTCGACGGGAAAAAGGACTCAGCGACAGGGCCGTTGCAATCCTGAGTCCGTCCGAAGCTGCTGAATGCGGAAGATCATCTCAATTGATGTTGTTTCGAATTTCAAAAAAAAGTAGAAACAGGACCAAGCCAGTCCAGCAATTGCTGTGGCAATGAAAGAAAAAAAAATCACTTTCATCCAAATTTCCAAAGACATATCAATGGGAGCCGGGTAAATGTAATGATGATCGGGATGATAAGAGAGACCAAAACAAGCTCTGATATTCATTTTTTGCACTCTCGCGTCAAAATACTTCCGTCCTCCCCATACGGCGGCTGGCGACTTAAAACGAGAAGAGAAATCGAGTCGCGGAGGTGGTAGACATAACGACGACCATATCTGACATAGACAATTCAAAACAAGAAAGCGAAAGACAGCTCGCTTCTTGAAATCTTGAGAAGTTTAGGGGAAAAAAAGAAAAATCATAATTCAAACGACCGAATTCAGGTCAGAAATAAATGAAACATGTGGAAACTTTTGTGGAAATGCTTGTGGAGCCAATCTCAACTTCGAACGTCAGGGATCCTTTTCCCCCATCATATCCTGACCGAGGCCCCACAAATCGATGAAACCATGGGATACCAGTACTCCAATCGACCATCCGCGTAACACAGTTCACCGTTCACAGCAATCGCAGAGAGACGGAGTGGAGCAGGGCGGGGGGAGGAATGGTCTCTGCGTTGAACAAGGAATGGGCAAGGTGGGAAAAGGGCGTTGCCACACTTGAAAGGAAAAAAAACGTTGAAAATAATGCGATGAAATGCACATACCTATGTGCAGAGGACCAACGTCCTCAAGGGAGATAGATGGATTTGAAAGTGGCATATACATCAGGCGGCTAATCTCAGCCATCTCTCCCTTCAATCTGCCATGGGCAAAAATGGTGGCAACTAGCCGGTGCCCCTGAGCACCATCGGCAAGCCCACCAGGAGGCGAAAGAATGACGGCTTCTGCGAGGATTATTGCCGAATCAAGCGCAAGCGGCCATCAACGAGCGTTTCGTTTGACAGCACAAATTTTCGCCGGTTTGTTTCACAATAAGCGTGTCCTGGGAGTGGGGAAAGTCGGAGAATCATAGTGCAAGCACCGGAAAATTTCCCAATGATACTTTCGCAGTCGATGAATGTACAGGGTCAAAATAATGAGAGAATGGGATATGGAGGTTGTTGGCTTTTGTTCAGTACATGCGATGAGCTGGAACTTCTCCAGGGCAGTCAAGAGCTCCAAACCTGGGCTTGGACATTTGATGTCTTGTAATAATCATTGAGATTGCTCAAGGGTCCACCACTGTAAATTTTGCTGTGCATCCTCGACCTTGATATGTGCAGTACATCATCATACGCAGTACAGTGTTCGAAGCAAGGCATGAATCAGACCGTTCGTCGGAACTTGGCGGCAATTCTACGAGATACGCCTATTTTTAATTTTTAGATACGGACTGACACTGACATGCCTGTGCATGCATGGGTGGATGGTACAGTGTTTATTACATACAATGTACACGTCAACAGGCTATTTCCTTGAGGTTTGCAGGAATGAACGGAAACGAATGTAAGTGAGAACCTTGGAATATTATTCTTAATGACGATAATTCAGGAAGCAAAAAAGGTTCAAGTGAAACTCGCAGAGAAATGATGAAAAAAGAGCAATCTGATGGACAGGAGGAATGGACCAAAAATACCTGTCCACACCTGGCGCGCGGCGGAAGAATATTTTAATGTCATCTCCCTGGTCAATTGCCAGCCATAAACACAGGGGAGATGCAAAGCTGTGATTGGATATTAATCATATTATTTCTCGAAGGAGGTACTTACGCTTATTAGAGTGGTTCTCTTGGGGAGGTTTGTGATTTATTACTGAGTCCAGAAGCACAGATCGATTGCAGAGTGAGTGAGCTCTTTTCCTTCAACAGTGGTTGTAACAGCACCCATAAATAAGAATACAATTGTTGGAAGAAACGTCCCAGCTCGTTGATGCATCCCTGACGATGAAAAAGCCGCAGCTGCACTGTAATTCGCCCATTTCCAGATTCATCTGGAAGTGTAATTGGCTGGTTACCGCATTGTAATTTTACTGACCGAGATCAAGCTAGCGCCGTTTGCAAAAAAGAAGCAAAGACTGGTGGACGGAGATTGATGGCCACGAACGGCTCCACAATGGACATTGATGGGGGCAAGCTTACTGGCCTCAGAATGGACCACAGAAATTCGGTTTTCAACCGTTCAGCCACAAACTGCTTCCGTGGTCTGTTCCCGCCCAGGAACAATCCTCCACCTCATGCGAGATGCGTGGAATCGTCGTTGCTGAACCACCAATTGGGCAGAATCAGATATGATAGCGCTTCTACCTCAAGGGGCGGCAGTGTCTGATAACAGCGTTCCACAACAGAGTTAACCTCAGAACCTAGGGACAGTGGGGAGGCGGATTACAGAAGGCTTCTTTCTGGTGACGCCCCGTCAGGGACATGGGCGGCATAAATGGCGAGCCGTGCTGGTACCTGCAGAAGTGCAATTATTAAGGAAATAATCCTTCGTGCTCAAGGCTCCACTTTGGCGTTGTGCCAGTTGTCTGTATCCAACCAGGAGCCGTAGAAGCCGATAATGCAACAGCACTTTGTGAGAGCTAGTCAAGAAATGAGCTGTGGAGCATTTTGCTGGAGTACTTCCAGAGCCAGTGTTTTCTCTGAGCCCTCTCTAGTCGCACATTTGGATGGCCGCAAGTGGAGCGGATCACCCACCACTGTCGCCACAACGGACTGGCTGGGCGGGCAGGGATCACGATAGGATAATCCCACCTGAATTGGCGCTGGAAAGCAACGAGAGAGTCTTCCCACAAAAAAAGGAGCCACTCAACAGGCG